AAGATAAGATATGAGAAGAAGATAACTTCCAATTTAAAGATCAATTGTAAATCATTTTATTCTTATTTGAGAAATAAGAGAAAGGTTAAAGCTTCGGTACCAAGTTTAGATAAGGAAGACGGTACAAGGACAACTAGTGCAGGGGAGTCTGCAGAGGTACTTGCAAGTGCCTTTAGTTCTGTGTTTGTTAATGAGCCACTCGGCCCATTACCTAGAAGTTATAGTAAGAATACTAAAGTTTTAGATGTAATTACAGATTTTATCTCAAATAGAACTATGAGAGTGTGTGTAGAAGGTGAAACTTCAGAGTGGAAGATTGTATGGTCAGGAGTTCCCCAGGGATCAGTCCTTGGACCATTACTATTTGTGTTATTTATTAATGATTTACCAGATAACATTAAAAGTAAAGTTAAAATATTTGCTGATGATCTTAAGCTTATAGCTAATGCCTCCGAGCATGAAACTATAGCTAATGATCTGAACGAACTAGAGATGTGGGAGAGTAAATGGCTTTTAAAGTTTAATCCTACTAAGTGTTCAGTAATGCATTTAGATGTTAACGATAACCCAAGATCAAGTTATTCTCTTAATGGAGTTACATTGGCAGAATCTGTACAGGAAAAAGACTTGGGAGTTATAACCCATAACTCTCTGCTTTGGAATGAACAGATTAAGGCTTCAATATCTAAAGCCAACAGAATGATATGTTGGATTGTTAGAAATCTGATTATCAGGGAAAAATCTGTGATGATATCCATTTACAAAGCTTTAATAAGACCCCATTTAGAGTATTGTGTTCAATTGTGGAGTCCAGTTGCGGCTCATGAAAGTTGGGGGATCATCTTGGAGCTGGAGAGCGTCCAGAGGCGGTTTACCCGTCTGATTGACGAGGTGGGTACTCTTCCATACAGTCGTCGCCTGGAAATCCTCAAATTAACAACGCTGGCAGAGCGGCGAATACGTGGGGACCTCATTGAATCTTTTAAAATGATAAGTGGTTTGGCCAATTACGGAGCCGGTTTGTTCAGTATGAGCAGATCTGGTTTTAATGTGGTATCAAACAGTAGATGCAGTAAAAGTAGCAGTAAAATGAAGAAAGTCCACAGTTCTTTTCTTCCGGAGAGGGTGAGACCTTATTGGAACAAACTCCCCTCGGATGTCAAGAATTGTGGGACTGTGTTAAGTTTTAAAATAAGATTAGAAGCTTTCAAAAAAGAGACTATTTTAAACGGATCCGTAAATGATATTCATTTTTGGTATGTTTCGGACGAAGTATTAGGTAAGATTGAGGGATTAAATTATGCTACTAATAAAGAGAAGCACAATGAATATCTTGTGTGTAATCCTCATGTTGCCAAGAAACGCTTTATTAACTTATATAGTAGTGGAAAGTATGTAAATTAGATTCATTTTATCTTGGTTGTTTAGGCCAATAGATTTAAGATATTTTTAAAACTTTAGTAGATATATTTTTGATGATGTGTGATGATGTTTGTGTCATTATATTTTGATTTGATTTTGATTTGATTTGATTTGATTTGAAATTACAAAGTGTAGTAGGTGCAGATTGCATTGAGTTACATTGAGATTTCATCAGTGTTCATAAACGTAACACTTATCGAATGAAGATATGGATGGCAAAGTTATTGGCTGAGCGCCGCCCATTAAGCATCAGCGCACTTTTCGATCTGGCAACCTTTTGATATGAAGAAACGTTTGTTTACTTTATTATTTATGCAACTGGAACCCAATCGTGGCCTCAGTCGTATTGATAGCATTTAAGTTGCCAACATCATGATCCCCAGTAATATATATTTACATATTAGGTGTACAGAATAGGATGATGATTGTTCACTCTAGACTTGGTTATCACGTTTTCTTAGATCATACATGGTCCTGAGTTGTGAGTGAGGGACTATTCGAAACCCTTACCCTTATTCTCTGACCCCAACTCCATAAGCCAATATTTGACTGAAGCACATGCTAAGACCCTAATTCTAACGAGAAATTACATCAATTTTCTTATACGGTCACATCAAGTTATCGAAACAGCAATTCGCCGATAACTTGCCATGGGATGACTTTTACCCTGGGTGATTTTTAATCCATTAAAGCTGGTTTATCCTGGTGAGGGCCTTTCTAGAAATATTTCGAAGTTTGAGTGTAGATCTGTTTATTAGCATGTTTGTACAGACAACGCAATATGTTCGTGATGTAGATGAAGACCCCTAATGTAATTCTAGAAACTGTTGTGTTTTCTCAAAATAATTGTCTTTTCTATGTTTAGAATGAGCAGATTGAGTATAAATCTGGTTTCCAATAGTATATATATACAATGAAGTAATTCAAGTGTTGCAATTGGCAGAGCACAATACAGAGGTAACGGAAATTGTCCACTGCTACCAATATTGTATAATATGAAATATCAAAAATCAAATATATACACATCTACTCCATTGCATCATAGGGGCAGGGATGAGGTTATAAGAGACTTCTGATAGTGGTTTCTCATATTTGCTGTCCTTTTTTTCCCTCTGTACCCTCGTAGAGCAATGAGTGTGGTTTTTAACATTGCGAATCTTAATCTTGTCCTCACATGTCTTACCACATCGCAATACCTCTCTTTCCTTTTCCTGGCGATGAGGTCTGCTACTCTATTTACAAATCGCTTACATTCTTTGGACATGCCTCCAGTTGTAAGAAATACAGCCGGGGTGAAAGTGGCCTCCCAGTGACATAAAGTGAGGAATCTAAGAATCTAATTCCTAGCCATATTAATTTCCATAGCCACGCCGACTAATTTTTGTCAACAAAATTATTAAATCAACTTTAAAATAGTCGCTCTCGGTTGTTACACACTGTAACGCCGCGCACTGTACTTTAATTCTATATTTATCCGAGAAGATGTTCGAATCGAGCGCAAATGCCAGATTCCCAGCAGATTCCTAGTTCTTGCGCTTAATTTGCGCGTTACCAAATAATCCAAGATATTTCTGTCAGGATCCAAGATTTTCCTACTACCAGTATGGTAGTATGGACTGTTTGGTAGTATGGTAGTATGGTAGTTGCAGGAACGCGCGAAGACCTATATGTAAATATTACAAAAGCGTACATGGAATCGTAGCTTAGTTGGTTACTCCGTCGGTACTACATTAGCAGATCGCGAGTTCGAGACCCGGAAAGAAATTCTTTCACAATCTTTTGCTAATTATGAATAACTATACTAATGAATTAATAACTATACTAATGAATAACTAAACCTCTGTAAAATAACTAGCAAAGTAAAATGAAATCGTTATCCGGCCGCGGAGCGGCCGAAAAATTTATGGTAGTCGTTTTAAAAATATATGGTAGCCGTTTTTTCTTTCCAGACTGGATTCCTAGTCCCTTTTTAAATTTATGTCACTGGGAGTGGCCTTCTCTACGTTCAACACTCTCTCCAAGTACTCATCCTTCTTCTCCTTCTCGTTCTCTTCGTATACTTCTTGAAGAGTTTTGGTCCTGTTTGATAAGCAATTGGGGTGTGAAACCCTTATGTCAAGAAAGGTCTTATCAAATGGAGTCCAAACTCCTCTAGCAGATACGTCAAGCTGAGCTTGGTCACCTGTTATAGTCTTGGGGTTGAGGCAGTCACCCTCATTTACCTTCTGTAGCTGGGGTTCGACTTTCACATCATGACATACCTCACGAAGGAGATTTGCCAATGTGTCTCTGATGTTGTTGTGGGTCATTATCACGTAGCCCCCTAGCTTACAGGTGAGAAGGTGGTCAAGATCACTTGTTTTCCCACATCCACAGGTGATGGGAGTGTTTGGTTTCAAATAGTAGATCTAGTAAGAGTGGTACTAAATTTAAGAATTTGCACTGTTCCTTCTAGAGAGAGTTATACCAACTCCATCCGCACTGGATGTCCGGCAAGAAGTGGCGCAACGTTGCCTGTTGGCACCCTGCTGAAAAGACACCCCCTGTTGGTGCCCCCTCCCCTTTTGGCTCCCCTCCCTAAAGTTGAACAAATTAGATGATTTTAGAGGATTCGCCAGTAAACTCTCTTTTAAAAGTGTGTTTCTAGAGCAAAACGCGCAGTTTTTCTAAATTGTCCCACATTCAACATTCAAACAACGATTTGGTGCCCCCCTAAGATGAAGCCCCCCGCTCCAGTGGGGTCGGCAGGGCCCTTCGTTACGCCACTGCCGCCCAGAGCTTTTAGACAGTTTTATAAAGTTAAATTTGAAGGATTTAAGAAAAAAAAAAAGAATTCAAATTTAGAATTGAGGGGCCAATTATGTTCATTAAGAAGAAAAGCATAATGAATATCTTAGGTTAAATCCTCATGTTGCTAAAAAACAATTAATACTTCTATAGCTGCAGAAAGCATAATTAATTAAATTTTTACTGGGTCTGATCTTTGTACCTAGCTTTTTAGTTTAATTCACAAATTTTTGTAGAAATGCTCATGATTATGTGTGATGATGTTTGTGTAATTTTTATTTCATCGATTTGATTTGATTTGAACACAAAATCTTATATCTCTGGGGCTGCATAGATGTAATGAAGTCTAGCTCGCCTCATTTGATTTGATTTGATTTTATTGTCCAAATGAAATGCTTAAATCTTGCAACTTCCCCATTATGATCAGGTAAAGCTACCCCTACACAGGCTCCTTGATTTAACCTCCTCCTTACATGGCTTTGTATTTATCCACTGTAGCTGGTGATTGAATCATAAATTGTAAAACATATCTCTCGCTGAACTGCAATAAGATGCTAGATGGTTGAGTGGTTATAACATCTGTCTCTCAAGCTAATGGTGTGGGTTCAAATCGTATTGTTGCCTGGGCTAGGGAGTGAGCTTAGGATTCCATTGGATCTACACAACATTACCATTAGAAGGAAATCAAAATTATATATAATATATCTTACCAATGGAAAAGGAACAGGATGAGTTATGCTTTTGCAACCCTTCAGCCCAGGTTAAGACCATTTTGACCACATGATGTTAGAATTTAAATACTTTGTCCTTATTTCCTAACCTCTTACTTGCTTTACAGGTCATGGCTCTCTCATTGGGAAAAGATATGGCTAGTTTGCGAATGCAGTTGGATGGTCCTGTAACTATAACTTCTCAGGAGCAAACTGCTGTTGAAGAATCAGTGGAACATATATATTCTGCTTGTCAAGGAAGAACAAGACTCAAAGAGACTTTCCCTCTGCACAAAAGTCGGCATATAAGCTATCTACGAAAGGGCCTCCTAAGACTATCAGAAAACTTTGAATGCTTAGATGCTAGTAGACCATGGTTATGTTATTGGATTTTACACTCTCTGAATTTATTGGGTGATCAAATATCGCAAGAGCAGCAGTTAAGATTATCTGAGTTTCTAAAGTCTGTCCAAGCTGATTCTGGTGGTTTCTGTGGTAACATTGGACACTTGCCACATCTTGCTACAACATATGCTGCAGTTTCAGCCTTAGCTTCACTCGATTTTGAGCCTTGTTATGATATTATTGATACAGACAAGCTCAAGCAGTTTCTTGAAAATATGCATAATGATGATGGATCCTTTACCATGCACAAAGATGGTGAATTAGATGTGAGAGGTGCTTACTGTGCCGCAGTTGTAGCTCAACTCAGTGGTATACATTCTGATGAGCTTTTTGCCAACACTGGAGAATGGATAGCTAAGTGCCAAACTTTTGAAGGTGGGTTTGGATCACGTCCTGGGACTGAAGCTCATGGTGGTTACACTTTCTGCTCTCTTGCTGCCCTGATATTATTAAACAAAACCCACCTCATTAACAAAGATCAACTTTTAGATTGGGCTGTTCACAGACAGATGAAATTTGAAGGAGGTTTTCAGGGTCGGACAAATAAAATGGTCGATGGATGTTACTCATTTTGGCAGGGTGGTGTTTTTCCATTACTGCACCACATTTTAAAGACTGATCTCAAAAATCTTGACGAGAAAGAATGGCTCTTTTCGCAAGTGGCATTGCAAGATTACATTCTGTTTTGCTGTCAGTACCCCAGTGGAGGCTTAGTTGACAAGCCAGGTAAATCTCGAGACTACTATCACACTTGTTACTGCCTCAGTGGTTTGTCGGTTGCGCAGCATTCCTTTGAAAATACTTTCATAAGAGGGGATCAGAACAATCTCATTGAACCAACTCATCCAGTTTTCAACATTGTTTTAAACAAGGCTGATAAGATGGCTAAATATCTTAGAAACAAAAGAAGTGTCAATGAAGCGCCATCAAAGTAAACGCCTTTATAGGTATTGAAAAAAACTTAATATTCTTCCTGGTATTGTGAACAAGATCTTCTGTTTTAGGAAAATTCTGTTTGCCTAAATTTATGTTGGTACCTTTTTTACAGTTTACAGTTTAGAATATTTAAAATCTGTACAAAGAAGCCCGGTTCTCTTAAAATAAATCTTATTTCTGTTATATATTTGATAATGTTTTATCAAATTTATGAGTTTTGTCTATGAAGCTTTCATTCCATTTGTTTGTAATTGAGGACTTTAATTTCTATTTTGAACTTTTCATCTACCTGATATACGGTAAATTTCAATGCACATTCCTGCCGAACTGTTCCTAAATTTAATCTTAATTTCATTGATATTGTTCTAAAAAATTACAAATTATTTTCCTTCTTGATTCATAACGCATCCTGATCACTCACCCTATTAATCATGTGTTGAAACTCTACTTACTTCGTTCTTTTCAAACATACTAATCAAGTCTTCACTCAGCTGATGAACCATAATTGACAAACAAGATGATGTACATGCCAAATCGTAACCTCGAGCTATTCGGAGAGCCTCCCTCTCTAGATGAACCAAGTGATGTTGAACTTCATGTTCTGGACAGACTTGAGAAACTCTCTCAGATAGAAATCCCCAGTTACAGGTACATTACAAGATTATAAACTCTCATAATGACTTTTGGCATAGTAATGACCGAATAAATGATGTTATTACAAAATGGTTTCGAGAGTGACAGATCTCGTGACAGACTCGTTAATAGTTATATCACTACTCAGGCAGCAGGCGTGTCTTGATATAGATGAGGCGCTGAAGCACTGTGACACTAAAGAAGACTACGACAGGATAAAGCACATAGCTTCAGAACTGGCTGCTGACCAAGGTACACAACTGCTGGCACTGCTAATATGTGTTAATTTAGGTTGTCCATAACTATGGCTTTTTTGTTTGTATAAGTCATGTCATAGGTTACAATTGCGTTATTTTTGAAATACTAACATGTCAAATAATGCAGGGAGTATATTTTGACTGACTGGGTATAATTCAGATCTAAACGTACGAGTAAGTTTACTGGATCAGCTTCAGTTCATTGGGGTGAGGTGTATGACTAACGCTAACTGTAAAGAAATGTTGTTCCACTTCATAACATCCTGTCTAATACACTCTCTTAGAGATCAGAATCATCAGGTGACTGGCAATTTCCCTTTTTGAAATTATCGTATTTTTTATTCTCCAAATTATGCAGAATAAATACTGATGGCTAGCTATTTGTGCCAATTTCAACATTCCACAGCTCAATTTAAAGTTTGTAGTATTAAAACTGATGTTACATTTCAAAGGAATTTGTGCCATATTGTCAATTGACAGTAAATAATGAACCTATAATATATTTAAGACAATATTTATTAATCGAGAAAATCCTAAATATATAAATTGTGGATTATTTGAATCAGGACTAGATCTAATCCTGATTCAAATAATAATCCACACGTATCCATACACTATAGGGTATCTATACGAAAGTTTTACATGCTGAGTCTCTGCTATGGAATGAAACTTTGCAAGTTCAAAGGATGTACCCTATTTTTAATGTCTCAAGACTGGGCGTGTTCATAATTTACTACATTTAAAAATTACTGGTTAATATTTCAGGTCAGAAAATCTGCTCAGACATCACTAATTATTCTAACTAACAGAGGATTCTACATAAAACGTTTGTCTTTAACATTTTTACTAAACACAAAATATGTTTGCTATATTTTGAAAACTATGTACATACTACATTCCTGTCGGACATGTTTTCATTTTCCAGTTTTGTTTCTGGATTTTGATAACAAAGCCATTTTTATTTAAGATTATTCCTGAAATGAAAGAAGCTAATATAGTAGTCTGTACCTGTTCAAGGCTCTGGCTAAAGCATGATAGGTATGTCACATACGTCATACCGTATGTGATGGCTAGATAGATAATGCATTCTTACCAATATCTAACTCCCAACTTTTCAGGCGATTTAGAAATGCTATATGTGGATACAATTCAAGAAATGTTAATGCCAGATACAAATGTGAGCACTCCTTTCATACGACGAGTCGGTACCCTTCATCTTATTTAAATATTAGAAAAGATTCAATTAGAAGTTGGTGTGTATTTTACCTCTCCCCGGCGTCTTGCGTCAAGTCTGATCTTGTATTATTATTAAAGCTAAGTCTTAGCAATATTGTATGCAACTGCACAGTGTGATGTATGTACCTGTAGTACATTAAAACGGATACTACGGTGTATAGAAACATAACATGTGATGCTTAATTTAAAGTTTAAGTGCGAACACGCGTGCAGAGGAATCGCACGATCAGTAAATTGTTATCTTTAAATTATTATTAACTTAATTGTTCATACTTAGTTTCAACAATGTGTTTGATGGATTACTTAACTGAAATAATTAACATTAAATTACTTTACAGACGCACGAATTGAACGATTTCCCACCAGAAGCTATTACATTAATATCAGCTCTAGCTTCATTTTTGGGCGGGGAGATTATAGTTAAGAAGTTTTTAGACAGATACATTGAATTATGCAGCGATTTGTTACTTCACGTACGAAAGGTATGTATACAAGAAACTGTCTTTATTTCTAATTAGATTTTTAGAGTAATAGTACAATTGCAATGTACACACACTTAAACGGTTAAAAAATTCAGATCTTTAAAATGTTTCCAAAATCAGATATAATACAAGAATAAATGACCGGAATGACTATCCCACAGTGTTGTGCAAGTTCGTTCCCTAAGATATGTCAAGTATCTGGTAGCAAGGTGGTCGAACAGAAGCTCCTTCCTGTTTTCTCGCAACTTTGTAACGACGATATCTGGGGCGTCAGGAAGGTTAGAATGTTCAGTATTATGATTTATATAACAAATATAGATAACACCATATTATAACAAGTGGCCCGTCTTTAAATCACTTTCAGCGAGTCTGTAATTTGTTTTGTTTTAAAGAAATATCTCCCTAACACAGGAACAGTACAAGCGCGTATACACTGTCTCATAACCGTGTACATTGTACATTGTACATGTATTTCACTACCTGTATGTGTACTGATCCTTAGTGTAGGTTAAGGTGTCGAGACTCACTTACCAATTCATTTAGGAATTAGGTGTCTAAATGCTAAAATGAGAATGTTAGGCCTTGCTTTAAAACCTAACTACATACCCATAATTATATCTAAATTTAAACTTATTGTTCTGACTTAATCCCCCTTATATCTCGTGCCATATATCAACTTCACCGGATGTACACAGTAAACACTAAACACCCCTACCCTACAAACCAACATCAAACTTTAAACATCAAGTATAAAATTGGCTGTACTCCAAAATAAACCGCCCTCCACAACTCTACACCCCTGAGCTGTAACCAGTCTTGTATATTTCAGGCGTGCGCTGAAGGGTTCACCTCTATCTCAAACACTGTGGAACAGCCCGTTCGAGTACAAGTGCTGACCCCACTCTTCTTACATCTACTGAATGACACGTCACGATATGTTAAACTGGCTGCGTATCAACAGCTCGGGCCCTTCATCACTACCTTTCAGAATTGTGAGCCAGACCGAGGTGCTGGCAATAAACTCAAAGCTGGGGAGGAGTAAGTTCATTTTCATCTTTTCTATTTTATTTTTATGGAGACAATTTTAATGGCTTCTTTTGTATTAGTATGTATAGTGCGTGCAATTAAAATCGTGAGTTAAGGCTGATATTTTCAAAAATTTGATATTAAGTTGGTACAGGTGTGTTATCAAGATAATCGAGCTAAGGTATGTTGAAACTATGTGTAGCACTAATTATCCTGTAGAATAATAATACGTGTTATGTACACTGAAGTGTTATTCATGACACGTGACTATTGATGTTATTCATGACACGTGACTTTTACATTTACAGTGGACGTGAACGGTCCCCAACAAATCCTGAGTACGATAACTTCTTGTTCTGGAAATCTCCTGTTGACATGGATACTGAAGCTCTGGAGAAGGAGGTGATTATCTAATTAACTAATTATTATTATGCTATTTATAACTAATACTTAGTTATAACTGATTAACACTTTCTAATTTCCATGAAATGATTCCTCTGCCAACTAACTACCCACATATTTGGAGTGTCTCACTTGTTTGAAATGTTATGCTATTTATATAAAAAATGGTTATCTTATTCTGATCAACGAAATTTAAAGTTGAGTCTCTTTATAATAAAGTATTGTAAGGTAACGCTGCTGCAATGTTATGTGCTATAAATAGCAGCGGGAGCCCTACGTACAGTTGGTCAATGGTCACGTGACGAGTTAAATTCCTTTTTGATTTATTCCTCATTACAATATTTCACAACCTTACAGTGCAAGTGGTCGTATAAAAGCACATCAAATCAAATCATGTAGAACTACGAAACTTATTTAATTTGCAAGTGTAACGTCCCAGCGTTTCAGCTCGAAATATTTTGTTTTAAACTTTTGGCAGGCGGCGGTTTGTTTCTTATCTAGAATATTAGGAGAATGAACATACAAGTATTTTTCTGCAGGAAATTATCAGTTTTAAAGTTAAGAAAGACAGTTAAAATTGTTCCATTATACCCTTTTAATTCAAAATGTCTCATTCCAGCTGTACGGGGAACCAAAATCACCGACCTCAGAAAGTGCCTCCAGCTCTCCTCCCCCATTAGAACCAAGAACAAACAGCACTCCGACAGCCACAGAAACAGCCACACCAACAGACACACAGACAGACACACAAACAGACACACCGACAGACGCAAAAAGTGAAGAAATGGTGGTAGACACTGAAAATAAAGCACAAGCTGTAGAGGCGGTCAGCACGGAGGATGTGAAGATAACAAGTAATTTGGAGGAGCGAATGAGCGATAAGACGAATAGGGACGAGTTTAATGCAATGTTTCACGGACAGGACGATGAGGAGGAGGATGATGAAGATATGGACTCAATGCAGGTTATTATTTATCAAATATCACATTAATAACGTAAATTAAAATTTCTTTTGAATTATAATAGCCGGTTAAAGGAGTAATACCCTACATGATATATGGTGTCACAACTATTCTATTATGAGTTATTTAGAATATATATTCGCATTTTATCCACACTATATTTACATTACACGTACAACGTGATATCGTTATCAGTGCAGTGTGTACAACACCAACTACACCGATCAATTGCCAATCTGCGAAACATTTAATTATTATTATCACTTCGAGATGGCCAGGCCTACTCTCATGCTGTCTATATGTGATGATTAACTCTGAAAAACTAGGGACAACTGGGGAATGATCCCAGAACCTCGAGATTTCGCGTCTCTTGCTCTACCAATTGAGCTACTGACCCTGATTCTCAGAGCGAAATCACCACTCATATACAGCACAATTTCATGCTTTGTGTGGAATATCATTTTATCAGTTATTTAGAATATATATTCGCATTTTATCCACACTATATTTACATTACACGTACAACGTGATATCGTTATCAGTGCAGTGTGTACAACACCAACTACACCGATCAATTGCCAATCTGCGAAACATTTAATTATTATTATCACTTCGAGATGGCCAGGCCTACTCTCATGCTGTCTATATGTGATGATTAACTCTGAAAAACTAGGGACAACTGGGGAGGGGGGGGGGGGGTCCAAGGGGAACTTTGGGGAACTTTGGGAAAGTCCCCCAAGATTTCTGAAGTTCCCCAAAAAAAAGTTCCCCAAAACTCCCCAAAGTTCCCCAAAATTCCCCAAAATTATTCAAAATTTCTCTAATATACATTAATACCCATTAATGTTAACATGTATGTTATTATAAGGTATTGAATCTTAGGGAGCGGGGGGGGGGGGGGGGGGGGGGGGGGGGGGGGGGGGGGGGGGGGGGGGGGGGGGGGGGGGGGGGGGGGGGGGGGGGGGGCGGGGGATCATGTTTTTTGTCCGTTCGGTACCCTATATTTTCAAAACGGACAAAAAATAGAGCGGACAAAAACGGACAAAAAATAACAAAAATGGAAATAACATTTAGATGCTTCCTCCTCCTCTTCCTCCTCCTCCTCCTCCTCCTCCTCCTCCTCCTCCTCCTCCTCCTCCTCCTCCTCCTCCTCTTCCACCTCCTCCTCAGTCCTCCTCAGTCGATCTCCTCCTCCTCCTGAGTCCTCCTCCTGGGTCCTCCTCCTCCTGGGTCCTCCTCCTCCTCTTCGTCCTCCTCCTCTTCCTCCTCAATCATCAGTCCTCCTCCTCAGTCCTCCTCCTCCTCAGTCCTCCACAAGACCCCCTCCTCCTCAGTCCTCCCCCAGTCCCCCTCCTCCTCCTATTCAGTCCTCCTCCTCCTCCTCAGTTATCCTCAGTCCTCCTCCTTCTCAGTCCTCCTCCTGAGTCCTCCTCCTGAGTCCTCCTCCTCCTCCTGAGTCCTCCTCCTTCTCCTCCTCCTCCTCAGTCCTTCTCCTCATCCTCCTCCTCCTCCCTCTCAGTCATCCTCCTCAGTCATCCTCCTCAGCCATCCTCCTCAGCCATCCTCCTCAGTACTCCTCAGTCCTCCTCCTCAGTCCTCATCCTCCTCCTCAGTCCTCCTCCTCATCCTTCTCCTTAGTGGAATCCTCCTCTTCAGTCCTCCCCAGTCCCCTCCTCCTCCTATTCACTCCTCCTCCTCCTCCTCAGTTCTCCTGAGTCCTCCTCCTGAGTCCTCATCCTCCTCCTGAGTCCTCCTCCTGGGTCCTCCTCCTAGGTCCTCCTCCTTCTCCTCCTCAGTCCTCCTCCTCCTCCTCCCTCTCAGTCATCCTCCTCAGCCATCCTCCTCAGTCCTCCTCCTCCTCCTGGGTCCTCTTCCTCCTCTTCATCCTCCTACTCTTCCTCCTCAGTCCTCAGTCCTCCTCCTCAGTCCTCCTCTCATCCTTCTCGTCAGTCCTCCTCCTCCTCAGTCCTCCCCCAGTCCCCCTTATCCTCCTCCTATTCAGTCCTCCCCCAGTCCCCCTTATCCTCCTCCTCCTCAGTTCTCCTCAGTCCTCCTCCTTCTCAGTCTTCCTAAGTCCTCCTCCTGAGTCCTCTTTCTCCTCCTCTTCCTGGGTCCTTCTCCTCCTCTTCATCCTCCTCCTCTTCCTCCTCAGTCCTCAGTCCTCCTCATCCTTCTCGTCAGTCCTCCTCCTCCTCAGTCCTCCCCAGTCCCCCTCCTCCTCCTCCTATTCAGTCCTCCTCCTCAGTTCTCCTCAGTCCTCCTCCCTCTCAGTCATCCTCCTTAGCCATCCTCCTCAGTCCTCCTCAGTCCTCTTACTGAGTTCTCCTCCTGAGTCCGCATCTTCCTCCTCCTCCTCCTGAGTCCTCTTCCTGGGTCCTCCTCCTAGGTCCTCCTCCTTCTCCTCCTCAGTCCTTCTCCTCCTCCTCAGTCCTCTTCCTCCTCCTCCTCCTCCTCCCTCTCAGTCATCCTCCTCAGCCATCCTCCTCTTCCTCCTCAGTCCTCGTCCTCAGTCCTCGTCCTCAGTCCTCCTCATCCTTCTCGTCAGTCTTCCTCCTCCTCAGTCTTCCCCCAGTCCCCCTCCTCCTCCTCAGTTCTCCTCAGTCCTCTTCCTTTAGAGTCCTTTCAAGTCCTCCTCCTGAGTCCTCCTCCTCCTCTTCTTCCTGAATCCTCCTCCTGGGTCCTCCTCCTAGGTTCTCCTCCTTCTCCTCAGTCCTTCTCCTCCTCCTCCTCCCTCTCAGTCATCCTCCTCAGTCATCCTCCTCAGCCATTCTCTTCAGCCATCCTCCTCAGTACTCCTCAGTCCTCCTCCTCAGTCATCATCCTCCTCCTCAGTCCTCCTCCTCATCCTTCTCGTTAGTCCTCCTCCTCCTTAGTCCTCCTCAGTCCCCCTCCTCCTCCTATTCACTCCTCCTCCTCCTTCTCCTCCTCAGTCCTCCTCAGTCCTCCTTTTCAGTCTTCCAAGTCCTCCTCCTGAGTCCTCTTCCTCCTCCTCTTCCTGGGTCCTCCTCCTCCTCTTCATCCTCCTCCTCTTCCTCCTCAGTCCTCAGTCCTCCTCCTCATCCTTCTCGTCAGTCCTCCTCCTCCTCAGTCCTCCCCAGTCCCCCTCCTCCTCCTCCTATTCAGTCCTCCTCCTCAGTTCTCCTCAGTCCTCCTCCTTCTCGTTCCTCCTAAGTCCTCCTCCTGAGTCATCCTCCTCAGCCATCCTCCTCAGCCATCCTCCTCAGTACTCCTCAGTCCTCCTCCTCAGTACTCCTCAGTCTTCCTCCTCAGTCCTCATTCTCCTCCTCAGTCCTCCTCCTCATCCTTCTCCTCCTCCTCAGTTCTCCTCAGTCCTCCTCCTTCTCAGTCCTCCTCCTCAGTCATCCTCCTCAGTCCTCCTCCTCAGCCATCCTCTTCAGCCATCCTCCTCAGTACTCCTCAGTCCTCCTCCTCAGTCCTCATCCTCCTCCTCAGTCCTCCTCCTCATCCTTCTCGTTAGTCCTCCTCCTCCTCAGTCCTCCTCAGTCCCCCTCCTCCTCCTATTCACTCCTCCTCCTCAGTTCTCCTCAGTCCTCCTCCTTCTCAGTCTTCCTAAGTCCTCCTCCTGAGTCCTCTTCCTCCTCCTCTTCCTGGGTCCTCCTCCTCCTCTTCATCCTCCTCCTCTTCCTCCTCAGTCCTCCTCCTCGTCCTTCTCGTCAGTCCTCCTCCTCCTCCGTCCTCCCCAGTCCCCCTCCTCCTCCTCCTATTCAGTCCTCCTCCTCAGTTCTCCTCAGTCCTCCTCCTTCTCATTCCTCCTAAGTCCTCCTCCTGAGTCATCCTCCTCAGCCATCCTCCTCAGCCATCCTCCTCAGCCATCCTCCTCAGTACTCCTCAGTCCTCCTCCTCAGTACTCCTCAGTCCTCCTCCTCAGTACTCCTCAGTCCTCCTCCTCAGTCCTCATTCTCCTCCTCAGTCCTCCTCCTCATCCTTCTCCTCCTCCTCAGTTCTCCTCAGTCCTCCTCCTTCTCAGTCCTCCTCCTCAGTCCTCCTCCTTAGTCCTCCTCCTCCTCCTCCTCCTGGGTCCTCCTCCTGGGTCTTCCTGATCCTCCTCAGTCCTCTTCCTCCTCCCCTCCTCAGTCCTCCTCCTCCTCCTCGTCCTCAGTCCTCCCCATCAGTCCTCAACAGTCCTCCTCATCCCCAGTCTTCCTCCTCGAGGAGGAGGATCCTCCTCCTCCTGGGGCCTTTTCCTGGGTCCTCCTCCTGGGTCCTCCTTCTCCTGGGCCCTCCTCCTCCTCCTTCTCCTCCTCAGTCGTTCTCCTCCTCAGTCGTTCTCCTCTTCCTCCTCCTCCTCAGTCTTCCTCCTCCTCCTCAGTCATCCCCCCAGTCACCCTCCTTCTCATCCTCATCCTCATAGGTCCTCCTCCTCCTCTTCCTCCTGAGTCCTCTCCTCATCCTCCATCTCCTTAGTCCTCCTCATCCTCCTTATACACCTCCTTTTCCTCATCAGTCCTCCTCCTCACTCCTCAGTCCTTCTCCTCGTCCTCGTCCTCCTCCTCCTCAGTCCTCTTTATCAGTCCTCATCAGTCCTCCTCCTCCCCAGTTCTCCTCCTCCTCCTCATGGGGCCTTTTCCTGGGTCCTCCTCCTGGGTCCTCCTCTTGGGTCCTCCTCCTCTTGGGTCCTCCTCCTCATCCTTCTCCTTAGTCCTCCTCCTCCTCGGTCCTCCTCCTCTTGAGTCCTTCTTCTTCTCCTCCTCCTCCTATTCATTCCTCCTCCTCAGTTTTCCTCCTCAGTCTCACTCCTCCTCAGCCCCCCTCCTCTTCCTCCTGAGCACCCTTATCAGTCCCCCTGGCCCTCCTCAGTCCCCTTTCTCAGTCCCCCTCCTCCTCTTCCTATCTTTCATCTCTCAATAATTTGTTCAATTTATAATTATTGTTGGTGTTATTGTTTACATAATTTATTGTTATATACTAAAATGTTTTTAAACGCATTTGAGTCCTACTCAAAATGTGCTCAAGAATCTTTGTGTTTAACAAAGTTTTACTCTCCAGTAATATGGAAAAGTTGTTACATGATATTTTTCATAGATGAATTGATTTTAATCCCTTTTTATGTTATTAAAAAATGTGTAGACTATTCTTTGTGCCTAATTGAGGTTTATAAGTTTGAGAAAGGACCATGGTCATTAACCGGGCTACCCATTTCTGCAGATAGCCTGTTGCAAATTTTGGAGAAAATTTAAATCAAAAGTTACAATTTTTGTCCGTTTTTGACCGTTCGGTACCCTATTTTCTGAGAACGGACAAAAATTAACGGACAAAAACGGACAAAAAATAACATGACCCCCCCCCCCTCATCTTAACTTACTTGTTGATACTTGCAGCACTACTATATAAGTATATAACGAATAATTTGAGGGTCTCATGATGTTTACTTAACGAAGTTTACACCCCTAAAAGGTATTTGATTGCTTCTCCAACCCTCCAAAGTCAAGATTGATTGTTGTCACTTATCAGGGAAACCTGTCCGATGTGTGTAATCATAGTTTTGTAATACATGAATTATTATCAATTGGTATTTTACTCAATAGAGCTGTAAGTTATGCCTTACTATCTGATTTTTTGCATTACATTTGATTCAACTCCTGTATCATCATTTATCATTGCTCGGTGCAATTCAAATATAGTTGTGTTTACTGCTCAATTTTGTAAGAATGCTATACAGAGCACGTATAGATATGTAAATATAATATAAAATAAACGAAAAGAACAAAAAACAATACCTACAATCATTGGTAGAACCTAATATTTTTTTTGGGGAATTTTGGGGAACTTTGGGAAAGTCCCGGTAGAGCAAGAGACGCGAAATCTCGAGGTTCTGGGATCATTCCCCAGTTGTCCCTAGTTTTTCAGAGTTAATCATCACATATAGACAGCATGAGAGTAGGCCTGGCCATCTCGAAGTGATAATATTCTATTATGGTGGCAACATATGTAGCATTATTACGAATTCAATTTTATTTTGATACAGTTGACCGAGGATGGCTATTGGTCATGGTGGACTAACTACATAATTGTGAACTAGTAGCGCATATAACACTGCCGGGTGTTCTCATACTAATAGTCGCCCATGTTCCGATTATGATGAGATAATTTTTAAAATCTCTGACTTGTGATGAGATCCTTGTCGAATGTCGATTATACCTATCAGAAATGTTCTTATTTCTGGCAGAAAGTTGGGTGATTTTCCAGAACTAGCTTTTCTCATATTGACCATTTCCTACTACATAGCAAAAAGGCCGTCCTTCGGACGTTTAAAATGAGTCAATACCTCTTCCTGCCCTCTTTGCCTCTCTCTTATTCTCACTTACTCTCTTTTATCTTCTTTCTTTTTTCCAATCTCTTCTCGTTCCTTTTCCTATCTTTCAGATACATTTTTCTTTTTTTAGGGAATTATCAACCAATTGCATTGGTCTAATAGTAAATTTTCTATGGGTTTTCTATAGTTCAACACTGTTAAAAACTGCTCCTTACTCTTATGTATATAATTTATTTATCGTTTCGCTTTATATCAAGATATGAATAGACAGTGAACATCGAAGGCAATATGCCCATCAATTGAAGTAATTTATTATGAAGTAATTTTTAATTGAAGTAATTTTTAATTTATTCAGTGAAAGCAGGATTAATGAACGAATAGTGTGACATTGGGTTCTCAACCATAGAAATTTAAAAGTCTCTACATGCTGTTCTTTCTGGCTCCATGTGCTAGTTAGGGGTCTGAGGTATCCGAAAAATTATGTTTTGAGTACCCAAAGTGTTCTGGGTGCCAGGAATGAGGTTATTAAAGCGGCGAAAATGACCGGTTTTGGACTATTTATGAGCTTTTTTGCCCATTTTCATGAGATAAAGAATCAGGAAAGCTGCTCTTGATGATTGAAATGGTTGATACCAATGAGGATACACCCAACACACATAAATATACGTGATATATGTGATTTTAATGAGAAAAATATGATATTAGGGCCCATTTTATACCAAAATTTGCCAAAACCACTCGCACTTGTCAAAGCTTCCTCATTTTAGACACATTTAATGATTATTATGGTATCTAACTTATGGTGGATCTGATAGGAGTATGTCTTAGCTTCATTTTAAGCCATCAATGAGCATGCTGGTGTGTATGAAAGTAATTTAATCCTCCCGTCCATTGATCATATAGTATGGGCCATGCGCGCGCGCGCGCGCGCTTGTTACAAGCATGAATTTTCTTCCTCAGTATCTATCTAAAGCTTTTAAAGACATGATTAGAATGCTATCCTACTCAGCACATGAGTGCTACAAGATGGTGAAAGAATTTCCATGAAAAATCATTAAATGTGGAAGATATGAGGTCATATGTGTGTGCGCGCGCGCGCGCGCGCGCTTGTTACAAACTTGACATCCTCAGAACTTTCACATTTACTGAGATTTTGTTTCAAACTTAATTGACTCTGAACCGAAATTGCCAGAGGAAACAGATAGTGTAACTCAGAAAGACCACAAATGGATAGTTTGTGAGATATTGAGGTTATACTCCAAAAAATTTACAATGATGTCACACCAGAAAACCCCTATTTTTGGTATATTTAACCTCATATCTCGAACGCGCAGTACTGGATTGAGCTAAACTTGGTCAGGTTTTGTAGCCCTGACTATCCTCGATCATATGGAACAGGAATAAAACTGTTCAGATGTTATATCTTAATTATATTAGGCACTTAGTTCTGAAAAGTGAGAATGTCATTAATACTGCTTTCACTGTATTATGAATTACCTTACTAATTCTTTGATAATTAATTACCTCAGATTGAGGAACAAGGCATGCAGCTGAGGAACTATTTTCAGTCACTGTTAGAAAAAGGGCCAGATGTAGAAGAGGACAAGGAAAACGTGCAGGTTTGAAATTTGTGCACAACATAAAAACTTACTCCAAAATATATGCTAGCTCAGCAGAACGATCATTCAATTTAATAACAATTTAAAAATGAGAAGACCACGTCTAAATTCCGCCTGAATTTCCGAACAGTTGGTGACTGGAAGCTATCAAGTAATTAAAATATCAATAAAGTAATTAATTAATTATGCTATCCTCCAGGTGGAGAACCAGGTAGAACCAACAGTGGAGTCAGGAAGAGGAGCAAAGGAAGAGGAGGAAGTATTTGACAGTAACCTCTCAGTCAGTAAGAGCCCTGACTGGGGTCTTGCTACACCCGACCAGTTAAGGTGAGATATTGGGGGGGGGGGGGGGCTACACCCGACCAGTTAAGGTGAGATATTGGGGGGGGGGGGGGGGCTACACCCGATCAGTTAAGGTGAGATATTGGGGCCGGGGGGGGGGGGGGGGGCTACACCCGATCAGTTAAGGTGAGATATGTGGGGGGGGGGGCTACACCCGATCAGTTAAGGTGAGATATTGGGGAGGGGGTGGGGGCTGCAGCTCCACTGGATTATTGGCCCACTCTAGCGTAGAACTCTAAAAAATACTTTCAACAACCGAGTCATTCGCTTGGGCCTTGGCCCCTAAACGTTTTGTGATTGCTTGAGGTGGTTACACGAGACTAATGGTACCTGGATCAGATATATAAGAGGGGCGTTATTGGGCGTCAGGAAGACTGACGAGGGGAGAATCATGTCATGCTTAGTGGTCCAGAGTAGCTGGGAGTTGAGCTGTCTTAGGATACATTTGTAAGAAGTAGGGTTGGTGTTGAGTCTGTGAGTAATGTGAAAGTGGGGCCGTGATGGCCTGTTATAAGATTTTTGTTTATTAAATACTTTTCAAATTTTACAGAGTACAGCAATAGATGAATATAAAATAGAATCGTTCAAAATATCGCCCCCATCTGTAAAATATGATGGGCACCCAAACACGGTAAACACATAGTGAACTATGTCCGCAGTAACTTGGACCCATTACATCGAATTAATCTAAATCCAAAAATTTATGAAAAACTATTTAATAACAAACAAATCCATGGTGAATAACTGTGGATATATAGTCAAAATTGGTATTTCAATACGTCAAATTCCAGATACATTAGATACAGGTCTGATATGGTCATTAATGTGTGAGAAGGTGTGCGGGTGAAGTGTGATATGATGTTGAAAGTATAGGAAGGTAGATAAAAATTAATAAAACAAAAATAATAATAATATGGGGAGCAGAAGACTAGGCTAGACTGTTGTTTCACTATCCAATAAACATTTCCATAGATGCTTAGTGACCTCAGCTTTGAAAAGACTAGTAGACACAATCTGTCCATTCCACAGTATGTGGGTTCTGTAGAAAAATGATTTTGCCAGTGGGCTATTTGAGGTACATATGGTGAGTGAATTCTGACTTAACTTAGGTAAAATTGATGACACAATAGACAGACTGTCGAGGTGGCAACGTCTTAGTCGAGAAGTGCCCTGATATAAAGAGAGATAGTGAGGCAGCGATACAGGAATTAAATTGTTCAGAACTTTGTGGAAAAAAATAAGATCATTCAAGTCAAACTTTTGAGACAAAGGGAGAATGTCGACAAGCTTGCACTTTTTGACATATTGCTCAGGTGGATAACTGCGGCCCTCTTCAGACAGAATCCATTTAATAGCTCTCTTTTGGAGACTTTCTAATTTATCACTAAGTGATTTATTACAAGGGCGCCAGATTATGGAACAATTTTCGAATTGGCTACGAACTAGGGAGAGGTAAAGCGCCCGGCGACGTTTCAGATCAATGACAATATGGCCATCTCTTCTGACCATACCAAGTTGTTGGCAGGCCTTAGTATAAATTCTGTCGCACTGACTATTCCAACTTAGCTTAGGAGTAACATCGACTCCAAGATCTTTTTCTAACTCTACATACACAAGAGGAGAGCCATCAAGATTATATGCGAATGGAGGAGATAAAGATGGTTTTCCTGAAACAATAAGCACTTTACATTTTGCTGGATGGAATCGCATTTTGTTTCTAAGTGCCCAGTCAGAGAGATAGTCTATATCCATTTGTAAATTAGTATTATCAGAAGATGAATGTATTTTACGCCAGATTTTTGTATCATCGGCATACAAAACAATATCAGTATTATCCGAAAGGCCAAGAGGAATATCATTGATAAACAATACAAAAAGTAAGGGACCAAGGATAGAGCCCTGGGGGACACCAGAATTAACTGAGAGGGTAGATGACATCTCATTACCAATAACCACTCTTTGGTAACGGCCTTGAAGGTAATTGGTAAGAAATTTGAGAAGTGTACCATCAATCTTATATAAGGTCTTTAGCTTATGAAGAAGGATATCATGATTTACAGAATCAAATGCCTTAGCAAAATCAAAATACACAACATGATTAATAATGTTTTCGTTAAGAGACAATGCCAGGCTATCACAAAAGTCAACCATATTGGTTGTGCATGACTTGTGCTCTAGAAAACCATGCTGCCTGGGATCAAGAAGGGTACTTGTCAAAGAAAGCAGTTTACGTTTAACAATGCGCTCAAAAACTTTCATGACTAAACAAGTAAGGGATATTGGTCTATAGTTTTCAACCTCACTTTTCTTACCTTTCTTAAATATTGGGACAACATTTGCAAGTTTCCATTCTTGTGGAATGTAGCCGCTGTTGTAGGATCCACGAAAAATGCATGTTAGAGGGTAAGCTAAACCTACGGAACAATTTTTTAGAATTTTACCGTGTATGCCATCTGGTCCCTGGGCTTTATTTGAATTAACATTTGAAAGAAGCTTACGAACATCCCGATGATCGAAGTCAATATCAAAATCAACATCATTGACATAGGAGATGTCAGTGTCATAAAGTGAAGGATCCGAAAACTGGTTATAAAAGAAAGAATTGAAAAGTTCAGCTTGATCTTTGGGTTTGAACCGAAGCTGTCCAGAATAACTAACACAATTAGGAATACGGCAGGAGTTAGATTTATACTTAACATGTGACCAAAACTTCTTAGTTATAAGCGCTGGATCATCACTATTGAAAAGATTATCTCTTATTTTGGCTGATGAGAGCCTCTTAAAATCTTTACGGCTAGTAACAAACTTTAACTCATCAGAAATAGAACCAGAAGTTTTAAATTTAGCTCTGAGTCTATCTTTTTTACGGCATGAAGAAAAAAGTTCACTATCGAACCACGGGGGTTGGAACTCTGATTTAATAGTTACTTTAGGAATATGTATATCAACTAAATTCATAATGCAGTCTTTAACTAACTTCCAAGACGAATCAGGATCTAGGCATTCTAGGACTTGCCAATTAATCGAGCATAATTCACGATGTCCCAGTTTGCTTTCTTAAAATTATAGATTTTACGTTTAGGAGTTTTCTTACGGGAAAAGGAGCTTTTAATTTAAAAAGTGACAGGAAAATGATCAGATTTGCACACGGAATGAGGATCACAGACATTCAAGTTATCAATTGTGTTATCATAATTACTGAGAAGAATGTCTAATGTATTACCACTTTTATGGGTGGGTGATGTGATCAACTGGGAGAGAGAAAGATCACTGAAAGAATCTATGAAGGATTGCTCAATAGGTACGGTACTGGATGAAGATAGCCAGTCTGTATGGGGGAGATTAAAATCACCAATAACATAGATTTTAGGGGGATTCTTTTTGGAAACTAGCTTGCGAATATAACTAACTATGACATCATGATTAGGTAACCCAAGAGTTCCTACTCTATAACAAGTACAGATTACAATACTCTCTTTGTTAGGAAAAGCAATTTTAACGGCAAGCATTTCTGCACCTAGGCTAACTGGTAGTCGGGTTGTAGTGGCGTCGAGATCAGACCGAACAGCCAAAAGAACACCACCTCCATTTTCCCTAAACTTTTTAGGGTTATTAGGATCTTGAGGATGAGTCTTTCTTGTGCGGTCATTGCGGAAGATTTCATATTGAGATGAAGGAAAGATTTCGTTGCTAGAAATAGACTTTTTGAGCCAAGTCTCATTTAGGGCAATTATGTCAGGCTGCTCTATGTTAGCAAAGGATTGAAGTTCGGAAATCTTATTACCATCAAGAAGGGGATGGGAGGAGCTTAGGTTACTGAAAGGAATAAGACCTTGGACATTTTGGTAGAGTACAGATAGGGAGTTGGGACCTGGATTAAGCATAGAAGGATTAACAAGAGTTATCAAAAGAAAGTTAAGAGATGAACTGCTGTGGTTGGATAATGGATATATGTACTATGTTGAATTGTTTGTATAATCAGTTTCCAAATTTGTCATGTTTATCACACGGTTAAGAAGACGTAGCTTTTGGTGAATGATTGGGGGATGAGGCAGATGTGAATGAGATTTAATCACGGGATCTACTGTGGAATAGCTTTAAAAACTCCTAAAATAGTTTTTAATTAAATCCTTTTTTCATGATTAATTTGATCTAGACTTGAAACATTAAAAGAAGTAAGTAAATAACTTAAAACCTTTTCTCTTCACAGTGAGTTCCACAAAGACCCGCTAGCTCCCAAGATAATTAAATTATCTGACTGTGAGACCGGTGAGGAGGGTAAGGAGAAAGAAGGAGAGGAAGGAGGAGTCTTAGTCGGAACCATTGATATAACCAAACCTGTATTTGGGGTAAGTCACATTCTTCCATGTTTTATTATTATCCTTTTCCGATAACAGATATTAGGTATGCAAACATAATAACATATATTAGTTTTGTAACATAATAACATATATTAGGTGTGAAATGTTGCAAAATCCGACTTAACCTGGAATACAAACTTTCACAGTTCACACCAATATTGAAAACAAATGCATCCCTTGGGGCCCAGTCAGTGAGTCAGTATTACTGACCATAACATATATATAACATTGTCAGTTAACAAGATCCCACATTTTCACTTGATCACGTGACATATGAACAGTGCATGTACGTGACACAAGAACAGTTGATAATAGCCGCTCCTAGCATACTAGACGTGTTTTACTGATTATAGTAGGTGTATATCTGGATATAGAGTTGTAATATGATAGTCGTGGCAGCTGATAATAACATTCTGCAGCTTGCACAGCACTTTATTACACCACTACACTGTACACACTTACACTATTCTACATACCATACTCAATCCTGACATTCTGCACTTAACGGTATGTACGACAGTTTAATGTGTGCAATTTCTGGTGTTGTTACCAGTCTAATCCAATCTAGGTGCTGGAGAATGAAAATGAAAACGAAACAGCGTACAGCTTCTCACAAAAAGATGAGGATCTGGAGCTGGCCAGCGTAAGTACTGAGTAATGAGTATTCGAGCTGTTCATTTAAAATTAAAACATGTCCTGAAATATCATGATGTGTTATTGGACACGGCATTGCGAACAAAAATATGTATCATATTATATCCCGTTATGCATGGCACCGAATGTAACGGAACTTTCTAGAAAATATGCCTTGCTTTATGTATTTCGGGGTATTCCTACTTTCGTAAGTCGTCTCTTGATGCGGTAATTGTATTTTAAAACCTAGAGCCGTAAGTCGTAACTACACTTATATAGTAACTACTTTGGTAACTATAGTGACTACACCTTAGAGTAACTGTTGTCCACACTTTACAGGATTCATCTGACATGGATATTGAGACTTCAGATATTCCGAGTGTTTCGGTGAGTTCATGGTATTACTTAATGACCCATTCATGACGTCACCAGTTGTTTTTATGCACTCATACTCCTTCTTTTTCATTATTTTTAGTATCGTTACAAGAGTGGTGCCAACTTAAAAGAATATATGACTTGATCCTATTGATTATCTCATAGCTCTAATCAACCGGAGTATGAAATAGACTCGAAATAAATTATGATTTCGAAAATTATATGTTGATACAAAAAAGGTAATGTCCGACGACCTAGATTTGAACTGGTGACCTAATGATAACTTTGGTTAGACCGCTACAGTCCGCCGCTCTGCCAACTGAGCTACCGTCGCGTCGGGCCGACCGAAGTTTGAATCTCAAAATTTTATTTTTCGCCGAAATATATAATTGTCACCTGATGAAACGTCATGCACGGCGACCTTACTTTATATGCTTGCTTATTATCTTTATGAATAATAATTTTTGTCACTAGGAATTCTAGTACGCTGAAAATAATTGTGAGATTGTAGAATTTTCAAAATTCGATACTTGAACTTCCTCCACGATTATGCCAGATTCGAGTATGTGACTGTCGCAATAAGCGCAGAATTTTTCCTCCAAAAGTCACGACGGTGTATTCACAATATAGGTGTCAGCTGAACATGAGCGAAACCTTAGGTTTTGACGCAGTTGTACACGTCGCGCGCGGTGTAAAATCAACAAGTTTGCGTTAAAAACTCATCTTTTCAATATTTAGTTTTGCGCGCGTATTCTACGCGCGCTTCAATATTTGGTAAAATATCCCGGCAAGACGCAGAATTACCGCTCTTATCACTAAAAAATGTCCACCCGAAAGTTTATCTATAATTAGACAACCACATAAACCTTCAAACACAGTCATTTCAGTCGCCGGTTCCTGGAGCGCTAATAGACTGCTACACGAGCATGGCCAGCAACGTAGACGAAAATAACCCTCGTCAGGATGACGACATCCTCACCCATTGTGCTTACGCGTTTCCTGGTGTCGTTTACACTTTAGGAAAAGATTCTTGGAGTTTACTGAGAAATACATATCTTACTCTAGCTGAGAACTTACCGCATTCCATGGTAAGAAGTTAAAATATAAAAGAATAGCGCTGTTATAGTGTTATAAGCAAATAATATGTTCGCGTTTTACTCAAAAATACGTTATCAAGTTCTTTCCTTTTATCAAGGTCCTTTTCAGTCAAATGTACGTCAGACTCTAGCCTGTTCGCTGCACGAAATAGCACATGTGATTGGGCCCGAACAAACGGAACAAGATCTTATCCACCCCTTCAACAACTTCATATACGATATTGACTCTGTTAAGATTGGTCTACTCAAAAACTTGTCAAAGTTCTTGCAGGTAATTCTATTAATATTTCAATTCTTCGTCCAATATCACTTATACAACTTGTATTATTTATGCAGATAAGTTACAGGCGCAGATTCGTGTGTACAAAGATCAAAAAGGCCATCGTTAACGCAGCATTATTTTAAGAATCGCTTTGATAAACACCATTGCATCCTGCAAAAGGCAGCAGTTTTTGCTTGGCTTGATGTGTATATTTTAATATGTTTAGTCTTAGCATCATAAAGAACTATTAATCGAATTTGACATGCTGCCATTCAAACTTGACCACAACAGAATTCCTCAATTGAGCTAAGCTGTGTATCAAAACAGAAAGGGAAGAATACTTGTGCGATTCATTGTCATGTGGTTATCGCTTGTTAAGGTCTCGTCTTGCAGTGTGTGCAGTGTGATAACGATTTTACGCAAAATTCGGTGAAATTTCACAGTTTGATATCATATTTTAATTACGTGAACACCTGAAAAAACTTGACGTTGTGAGTTTGCTTCCAATCTAGTGCACTTAAAACGCAATTCGGGTATGTTACCAGAATGATTAATTGTTATTATTAGTGTTCTAACATTCCAATAAACTTGTTATCCAACAGAACGTGTCCCCACGCTACCGACAAGAGTTGCTCCAGCAAATGAAAGAAATTCAGAAATGTGAAGACCGCAAAAATTGGCGATATAGGCAAACTTTTGCGAGGTAAGAAAAGAATTGTATGTTTTATTTGTACCTAAACCATGTGAAATTTACCTCTGTGTTTCAACTATTGTACAGAAATTAAAAATGTATATGTCCATCCTACAGCCAGTTGCCCCACCTGAGCGAGTTGTACACGACGAAGGAGGTTTACGAACACATCCAGCCTATCGTTCTTAACCTGACCGTGGATCAGGTGTCTCAAGTGAGACAGGCTAGCTTCACCGCTGTAAGTGATAAGTCTCTGTTTCCTCTTTTATAACTAAATATCGTGCTCCATCTAAACTTTTAATTCACACTTTCTACTGGACACGCACGATGCTGAAATGTATTGAGTTGAGTAAAATTTTATGACAAAATTTCTTGATTTCATAACATTTTCAGCTATCAAAATTGATACAAAAGTTCAAGAATCAGTCGGAGACCGAGTACTATGAGACGACGTGTGAGACTATCAGGACAAAGTTTGCCAGCTCAAACAAATTCACTTACCGTCAGAGGTATGCCTGATTACTGATAATGTTCACCTTAAGAACCATTAATACATATAAAAAGAGGTTTTTGGGAAACGAAAAATGACGACAGGCGTAGACTTGCTTTATTCGTTTTAACAATTAATGGAATAATCTGGTACATTAATAGATAAACCACGCCAATGTAGCACATATTATTAACATACCGTGTTCTCAGTTACGTGTTAATCTGCCTGGAGCTGCTACAAGACGAACAGTACGATGTAATTGACACCTCCTTCGTTAACGAACTGCTGGAACTTGTAACTGATAGGACACCCAATGTTCGACTCTGGGTCGGACAGGCTTTGCTCTTACTTCAAAGTAAGTTGTTATTCAACTTTGCGGTTTAAATTTTCAAGCCAGAGTTGCATGCGGAACTTTCGAGACTAACGTTTATATTCGTCCGACTTAAATTCGTTGAACTTGACTGTTCTAAACGTAGTGAAAAGAATTTACTGTTGTGCACATTCTAAACGAATCACTCTCAGAGAATACAAAGAACGATCAAGTTGAAAAAAGTTTGTTAGAACTACAAAATGACAGCGACATTGATGTTCGACACTACTCAACTCACGTGAATTCGCCTGTCACTCCAGCTGTGGGCACGTGACGTCATTACTACGTCATCACGTGACGTCACTGCCCTATTCAGTGACGTCACTATGTAAACAAGCATCCCACGTGTTCCTCGAGCCCCTTTGTGATAGGTTGGTGTATTTTATGTGTTAGAGCATGGATTGTTAAATTTCAGATTGTAAAAATGTTTGTAATCCCTCGAAAATCGAAAACCGGTCTGGATTCAGATTTTTGCTTATATATAATGCAAATATTTTTATAACTTTCCTTTAACTGTGAAATGATAGTATTGTGTGATGACAAGCCTATATACGTCACTTCTGATAGTTCTTTTTAACTTTGGTAGCGATAGCTCTATAGGTACAGTTAAACTTTAGGCAAACTAATTTGTTAAGTTATATCCTAGTGAGGGACTTCCTTAGAACTGCTATTTTTCTGAATATGCCATGTGCCTACTTTATAATTATATGTGGTCAATTTTGTAGAGTAGATTTAGTTACCTGAACGACTTATTTCGTCCTATTGTTAATTGCTAACTTGAATTGATTGATTTGATATGTGATATGTCTTGCTTGTAAATATATTAATCGCTCTATCAGAGCTTAGAGAAAGAACAGGTCTATGGTTAAGAGTTTTTGATACGATTATATAATAAGTAATGAACGTGACGAAATTAGGTCCAAAAAGACATTTCTGTGCCCACTTTTTGGGTGTAGCTGATTTGATTTTGTAAAGGGTGGCCTGAAATTAACTATATTTCGGGATGGTTAGCGTAGATCTTTATAATATATCGTAGAGTAGATCTTGGAAGTAGATTTTTATGACCGATGGTCGGTTATACGGTTGATTTTGAGTCACCCCGGAGTTTGTGTTGGGTTTACATCCTCGTCAATCACAAAGGCGAACAATGTTTTATACAAGCTTGATTTTTGTTACTCTATGAAAGTCAATAACTATATAAGCCAAGAATTTGTAAGAATGATAAGAAACTGTTTGGAGGAAATTTACTTCTCATAATCGGGGCAAACTTGATACCAAGTGTTCTACATCTGAATAAATTATTCAATTTTTATCGTTTTATTGCTTACTTTTCGTAAAAAATCAATCATAAAATCACAAATCTACATAAAATTGTCAATCATTCAAAATAACATCTCGTATATTGCATCAGGCATCTATTAGATTCTCATAATTTCATTAAAAAGATAACGTCCATTTCATTTCTCGTCATTGTCCGGGTCTCAGACACATCAATTAGTAAGTCAGTAAGATAATCACAACTTGTAATTGTGTGCTTTTTGATGATATGTAAAATGAGGATACCCGCAATTTAAAGTCTAAAAAAGTAACATTTAAGAAACTTGCTATCATCGAAACGAAGTTCAAACATGTTTAAGTAGAATCAACTCCCTTCAAGCTGGCACACGTCTTATTTCTACCCTATCAAAATTAATATTCCTCTCATTTTGCATCACTCTCTTTGCAATCTGCTTCCTCAAACTAAACGACCAGATAAGAAGTCCCAGCGACACCATTCCAGCAATAACAAAAAACACAGATATCTGTCCAACGCCAATGATCCAGGCCACTATCGTCAGAATAGCACACATGATCATAGTCACCAGACACGATCTCATGCCAGTCTTACTGGCCAGCCATATCTCCAACTTATGACACTGACCCGTCACGATGTTAGGCTGGTGGGGTTGTTGGTGTGGTGGGACAGTACCCACCATACTTATAGTCCTCCGTCTGTCGTACTGATCAGTACGTGCCACATAGGGGGGCTGACCGGTACCAGGGTACTGGCCACCTGGAGGTGGGTACTGGCCACCTGGAGGTGGGTACTGGCCACTTGTTGCTGGGTACTGTACTGGTGCAGGGTAGCTGGGTGTTGGTACTGGTCGGGAGATCTGCTCTACTGCGCAGTAAGGAGGGGCTGGACGCTCTGGTTTTCCTGTGGTAAATATATAGCCTCAGAACTTCTTTATTACTCAATACAAGGCTATATTCACAAAGCGTGTAACAAACAAAGATCCCCAAAGATACACACGTGCTTATGACGCTGAAACCTACCTGCTGCTGAAGCTCTCCTGGGGGCTGGTTTTATTGAATCCTCGTAGGTTGGCGGATGGACTGGCCTATCATCCTCCAGGATCTCTTCACTAGTAGGCGGGTAGGACGGCATCTCAAGTTATCTCTGACATTTACTTCCTTACAAGTAGGGTTACAAGCGGTTAAATTCGGAATATTGATATTGCTTTACAGTCTGTAATTCAAGAATATCATTATTATGAATGGATCTATATTGAATAATATAGCATATTCCACACGGATTTGAGAATTTCTCCTTGTCCCTTCATGACATGCAACACAAAATTTTCCTAAAAAGCTGCAAATGATTTAAGTTAACACACAAAAAATCTGAAACCTTGTCTACTGTCTAGCAATACAACAAAACTCCGAAAGCTAAAATACAACCCAACAGGGTTACAGTGTATATCGTCCGCAAAGGTAGAGAGAGCAACAGCAAATAACAACATGTATACAAAGTGTGTACATGTCAACAGGCACTGAGTAAATACACCTTGACGTCTTCTTATCCAGTATTAAAACATGCGGGAAATGCGACATGTATATCTGTCACTGTCGTCTGTCATGTGCTTTATTAGTGTGGATACAGCCCATGTTGGACAAATGTATTGGACAAACGCCTCACGAGGTTGAACCCATCTTTAAAACTAAGAAAACTTGGAGCTTCTTGATAGGATTCTCAATCAGTTGTACTCGCTCACTAATACTTCGTAGATTAGTCCAATCTTTGCCACGAATTATAATCAGTTAAGTATAATGCTACAACATAACGGTTAAATTAAAGATAAAAACGTTATATTTTTTATACCTTCACAAAAATGAAATCAGTAATAATTTCAAACAACGAATGACCTTCGTCGAAGGTCGAACTACACGGTGGACACTTAAAAGCCACCCTCGCACAAATTACGAACGTTTACGTAATAGAGTCTAATATACTAATACAACATGTATCTAGGCCACTAAATAGATTATGTAAGATACTGTACTCTACAGTAACTGTACAAGCTACAGTACAAACCATACAGTAAGTAAACAAGCTACTCTGCAAGCCACAGCAATAGTATACAAGCAACAGTACACAGTCTCAGTAAGTATACAAGCTACTCTACAAGTGAGAGAACTGATACGAACAAAAGGAAATGTAATGGAGGGTGTAATGAAGACACAGAACTCAGTGTAATAAGCTCCGTGACATGTAGTGAGAGCAATGTAATATGTAGGATATATGTAGAAGTAATTAGGGAACTCCATCAGCTGTAAGTGTATGTGACACTAATTGGTTAGAGTTTATGTGCGGACGCTTGTAAATCAAATTACTATCCCAAATGAAATCACGAAAACAACAACTGATATTAAGGTTGGGTATGGTTATATATCACTTGTTCATACTACTTGCTTCTTGATAGCAATTTGTTTATCCATATATGGAATAATTGAGCGGCATTAAACCAAGATTAGCAGCTAAAATTTCCAACTGTTTAGCGATAAAGAAATAAAGGAATGCCGAGCTGTCAACCATGATGATGCAAATAGTCTAGACTATTTGTGCTGAGTTAAATTCACTTGTTTTGGTTATAAGCTGGAAAACGTATATGATAACCAAAGAAAATACGATTTAAACCAAAGATATATATCTGCAATATTCCGATATATTAAACACATACTGACGTACTGCAAGTTGCTATGAACCGTTTGGCAATAAAGAACAGCTGTCAATCATGATGACGCAAATAGTCCAGACTATAATTTAATATAAATGCGCACAGTTAAACTTCCTACGTAATAGAGCTGAAACAGATATTATAACCAAAGAGAACTTAAAACAGAAATGATATCTGCAACACTCCAACATATCAAACACACAGCAATATTGCAAAATGAAATACTTCTAGCACACGAACGTAAAAAGAAGCTCAGCGCGTGTAACACGAGCTCTTTTGATGTGATTATACCATTCAGGTCTTCATTATATTATGGCACGTATCATATTACATTTCTCCTACCACACACCTATCATATTACATTTCTCCTACCACACACCTCCATTCTAACATATTATGGCACGTATCATATTACATTTCTCCTACCACACACCTCCATTCTAACATGTTATGGCACGTATCATATTACATTTCTCCTACCACGTATCATATTACATTTCTCCTACCACACACCTCCATTCTAACATATTATGGCACGTATCATATTACATTTCTCCTACCACACACCTCCATTCTAACATGTTGATCTGTTATTTTTGTGTATTTTAGCAAGTAGGGGCTATATTTATATTTGTTTGAGAATTTACAAAATACGCTCACGAAATATTACAGTAGCGATGGTACGAGTGTAGTACCAGCACGATACACTGTCTAATTAATTTGTGCTGTGTAGGTAGAATGTAAGTTCGGAGATGACACATGGTTACCGTGGTAACTTACTGACTATGATTACAAGATACGCACGATGTGGCAAACGGGCCTGTACACTGTAAGTATAATTAACTTTGCTAATTTCTGATGTTTAAAGAATGTCTGTAAGGTGTAATTTGTGTGTCTGTAGTCAATGTGGTGCAATGTGTATCATCTACATTGGTGACATAGTTTTAAACTATCTTCACAACAACAAATACAATTAAATACATTTATTGATTATGTAATATGATGAAAACGTTTTAACCAGGTGTCCGTGTAGCTAGCCCACACCCTAGCTCCATAATATGAAGGACTTGTTTTACACTGTTTGATTCTTAATGAAAGTGAAAGTGCTCTAACAGGTTACCCCGACAATACCTTCACATTTCCGTATCATGTGACTCCTGACTTCTAATTTCCCTCCAGGGTTAGCTCATACAGTGTGAAAGACAGAGCACAAACAAACACACCAGTTATTACGCGGACATATTATACGCCATTTTGCGAAGGAGAAAGCCATTCTGGTAGAGAACATGAACAGTCTTCTAAAATTTACTGGACTGGATTCTTAGTTGCTGGTATTTTAGCAGGTTAGTCGAGTGTGTCAGCGCCCATGCCGGACTAAATCAATTTGTAACTCATAATTGCAATTTCAACTTTAGGGGTGTCAGTTATCATTTTTGTGAGAAATATCTTAGAAAAAGTGGAGACACCCCTCACCCCTACCAAACTTTGTCCATATACATATCGTGTGGCAGAGAAAGTTCTGAGATTTTAACCAATAACAACATTCTCTTTCAGCCTCTACAGAACCAGAAGAACCCACCAAGTCAGACGACCTCCCACCTGAACTTCTAGAATACCTGGATAACCTGTACAACACCCGGCAATATGTTGTTCTGAACAACTTTATGCAGCGTTACACCAACCTGAACAGTGCGGACGTGCTGTGGAGACGCGCCCGCGTGCAATGGGAGCTGCTCAAACAAGAGGGACAGGACTATAATGTGTTAAACCGAAAAGGTCGGGTTTCTCAAATGCAGGAACTTGAAAACCTGATCGACCAAGCGCTGGCTTTAGACGAGAAGAACTCCTCAGCACACCTCTGGAAGGCTATTCTGTCGAACGCTTGCAGCACTTTAGCTGGATTTAAGAAACAGTTTCAGAACCTGAAAACAATGGAATATCATCTGAGGCGTGCTATTAACTTGGATCCTAATCAGGCCGCTGCAAATACTCTGCTAGGCTCTCTGTACATGAACCTGCTGGACATGCCGCTGCTCATAAGAGTTTTCGTTAATTTGTTTTGGGAAATGCCAGAAGAGTATTATTATGAAGATGCCTTAATGTTGTTCCTGAAAGCTGAGGAAGTCGCTCCGAAGACTTCGATTGAGAACCTTTTTATGACCGGCAAAGCTTATTTCAGGTTTGATATTTTATAAGTATACATCTAAACTTGTCGAACAGATTTTGTTAAATTCTAAGATTTGCCAGATCACACAGTTTAGTGTTGTTGGAAGATAAGTTTCCACGTCTAATCACTACTAACGAATTTCAGGTTGGACCGAACACCGTGTGCGAAACATTACCTGGAGTTAGCAATGGCTCAACCTGTTGTTACAAACGAAGATCAGGCCTTTTTGGAGGAAGCTAAACAGTTCTACAAAACTAACTTTAAGTCATGATTATCATGATTCCTTACTAGCTCGTTTAGATCACGTGACCCTAAATGTGACCCTAAATGTCTAAATGAATTTGAAGTTTAAGGTACTAATGTTTATATAGTCGGTTGTTTTGTGCTTAATATATTTATACAGAGTAGGATTTAATTTAATTTATTCGATTCATCCTCTGGATTTTTTGCTTTTATGCCAGTTGTGTGAAATTACTGTTTGAAATTGGATGATAAACCAGAGAAGTATCGATCTAGGTTTTATACATAATTGTATTATGTGAACGTTAATCACATGGCTCGACTTTTTTGCTCATTGAAAATATTTTCGAATAAACATACAGGACCAAACATTTTACTGTAAATACTCAAGTTAAATTGTCTAAATGTGCTTAAGTTAGTAATTTAATACCTGGTACATTATGAGAACATCCATAATTCTTAATTTGACCATGTAGGAACGATGATAAAATCGTACTGAACTGATAGTACGTTTACTTTGATGATTTTAACCGGACATTGAACTTTGAACCATGATTACAAGATACTCTGGATGCAGTAAACGGGCATGTACTTTGTGAGTAATCAGTCTTATTTAGTTACATTCTTCCTCATCTGATTTCGCTATTCTTTAACCAATTATTTAGGTTTTCAAAACAAGGTGGTTTGTTTTACTGTGCTTAACAATGTTGATGTTAATGTTCAACTTCTCAGAATAAACTCGTATCGTGCAAAAACAAGACTACAGACGGAATTACGCATCATCACGGAGGTGGACAGGGAAATATGTAACCCAGAATATTCTACAGACCGACAAGAATGTCCTAAATATTACTGGAGTGGACTGTTAGCTGCCGGCATCATAGCAGGTTCGTCTTAGTAAAATGATAAAAATAAACGATAACTTTCCGGTGAAATTGTTTTCAATCTTTCTTAATGTTCATGGAATTTAAGATTTTCTAAAGAACGCTTTATTTCATTGACCCTCTTATTCCTCAGCCTCAGCTGACACTGAAGAGCCCACACCCGAGCCTCTACCAATCGATCCACCACCTCCTCATAATGTACTGAAATATCTAGACGAACTTTACGACAAGCAAGAGTATTTAGAACTAATCCACTCCATGGAGCGATACCAGGACCTCAACAATGCTGAAGTTCTGTGGAGACGTGCTCGTGCCGAATGGGAAAGACTCAACATGAAGGGGTTAAAGGGCACAGCTGATTTACAGGAAGCTGTGGATTTAATCGATCAAGCCCTAGCTGTTGACGAAACTAACTCGTCCGCGCACCGCTGGAAAGCTATCATATCAAACGCGTATAGCGGTTCCAAGGGCATGAAACATCAAATCAAGAATCTGGAAACTATGAAGTATCACCTCCAACGAGCGATTGAGTTGAACCCCTCTGATGCAACTGTGCTGACTCTGATGGGGACCTGGCATGTGGAGCTACTGGAGTTATCCTATTGGGAGAGGAAGTTTGCTTCTACATTCCTGGGGGAGTTACCCGAGTGTAGTTACGAGGAAGCGCTGGGTTTCTTTCTTAAAGCGGAAGAGATCGCTCCAAAGGCTTGGACAAGAAATATCTTCCTTATCGGCAAAACTTACTTTCAGTTAGTTTAAGATATGTTATAGGATTTTTAATTAGATTGTTTGATCTTTTTGAAATTTTTCTAATTTTAAAATGACAATTTCGTCGTAACTTTTTAATTGTATAATTTATAAAATCATCCATCCCTTTGGCTCCTATTCCTATTCACTAGATTCACAACTCGCATTTCCCGCAAAACCATATACTTGGATCGTACGAAATATCTGTATTAAAGTTTAAATGAACAACTTTTCAGGCTAGGGGACAAACGGAAAGCCAAACACTACATGGAATTAACATTGGACCAAGAAGCCGTGACTGACGATGATAAAGCAGTTTTAGAAGTGGCTGAGACCTTTTACAGGAATAACTTTATTCTGAGTTTGTGACAGTGTGTTAAAAGATTCGAAATTGTAGTATTTTATTTAGGGTTGAACATTCGGTAGGTTTCGTATACTTTGGTATAGGGTGTGGTAAGATTCTAGATCAGAATATTTTTGTTTTCTGGAACATTTGAAGTGGCAATGTTTCGTTTACCTTTTTGTATTTAAGTTATTCGCCTGGTTTCTAAAGTTATGTTATCTTTCAGTTCTATCTACTAAGCACTTTCGAATGAACATTATTCATTCTCTTATCTATTACTTGATAAAGAAGGGTGTACTCGACGGAGTCACGTGGAATGAAAATAAAAATATTTTTGAATAATTCATTGCTGTAGTACAACCCTCGCTTTCTTCTCAGTTTTACTTAATTTATCTGACTTATATAAGTAATTAATTATTTAATTAATTAACTAATAACCGCCCTGTAGTTGCGGATGGCGGTAGTGTTATCAGGTGACCATGAAATAGAGCTGGTGCCCGCTGTCAACCATGAGACGGAGAAGACTGAAACAATAACTCCACCTCCTGTTGCTGAAGGACCTCGTCTCATACAAGTCACTAACCTTAGGTCAGTGATTAAATTAGAAATTAGAAATTAGAAATTAGATTGGTATAATAGATCCGATTATTTATAGGATTCTCACTTTTCTCGGTTCGTCAATTTACGTTTCCTGCGTTTTCTGTTCTGAAAATATACTGATAACTGACTGATACAAAATGCTAAATCTGGTATCCTCATTTCACAGTGTAAAAGCAACAGATAAACAGATAGAAGAGCTCTTCCAGCAGATAGGTCCAATTGACCATGTTGAGATATTCCCAAAAGACAAGTACGTTTATTTAAATCGTTTAATCATCGCTTTGCTTTTAGAATCATTTGTATGAGTGGTAACATAACTCCTTAAAAAAGCATTTCATGATGAAAGCACTTGATATTTTCTCGATAATCATCATCCAATTCTCTCTTCTCATCTCCCACCTAACACCGTCATTTCCAACCAGGCACAGAAACAAGTTCGGGGTGCTAGTGGCGTACCTAGAGTTTGAGAGTCCACAGTATGTGTATATTGCCCAGCACATGACTAGTACCGTCTTCATTGATAAACCTATCGTAATTGTACCCGTTTGTAAGTGATAATCTTATCATCTAAATTCTTAAACTTCTTAAAATTTTAAATAATTCCCACGATCTGGTTAGCTTCCGCGTTTCTTTTAACCGCCTTCAATTTAAGTTGCTTATCTCCATGAGAAAGCTCTTGTAAGCCTAATTTATTTCTCCGAAAATCTGACTTGATCTCCAGAAAAGCACTTTTGTCAATAAAATATCCGAAAAACCCCACTAACCTTCACAGTTCACACCTATGACATCAATACGACGTCACTAACCTTCACGCTCCAAACAAGGTACCCCCACCCTTGTTAAAGAAACCCCTGACTAATAAACAACACCACCTCAGCCGTGATACCCTCAGAATACGAGATACTACAACTAGCGGCCGCCATGTCCACCACCAAACAACAACAAGATAATATCCTGACGGGAGATAATAAGGGAGAGGTGAAGCAGCTGGTTTCTACTATTGCTCCTACTATTCCATCTCATATCGCTAATCCTGTCCTCGGGAATAAACCTCAGCCTGTGAGTTTCAGATCTGAGTTTCAGTTATTCTTTGTTTGAATCCGTGGATTTTATATCATTGCTTTTAAATTGGTCTTATGCAAGAATACCCTAACTTAATCCTAACTTAGTTCTCTCCCCCAGAGTTTGCTTGTAGCAGGGTTGAGTCAGACCAAGGAGCTATGTGATTCCTCTCAGAAATTGGCTTCAAATTATCGACTTATCGCAGCTACTGGGGTCCCCATGCCTATCGCTCCCAAACTAGTCGAAGGTTTTAAAGATAAAACATTGAGAATTGTATGAAAATTTATTTGGATTGAAACTGTAATGTCGACGCTTAGATTCTATTAGTTTGACAGTAGACCGGCGCTTCAGATTACACCATGCAAAAGGAGCGGGAAGCTCGGAGGACTGTGTACGTCGACAACCTGGACCCATTTTTAACTGCTGAACATATCCTGAACTACTTCCAGTTTTGCGGTGATATCAGATATCTTAGAATAGGTGGCGATTGGATGGAGAAAAAGAGGTATTTACACACACTCACCTGCTCCTTTTTTGTGAAATTTCAAATTTAATTCCTCTGGTTCCCCCAATTTCTATCAACTCATTAGATTTTAGTCATTATCATGTCATATTCGACTATTTCAGTTTGCTGCATTGAGCAATGAGCATAGAGCAGGATGTTGAGATTTCTCGAATTTTATCGAACTCCAATAAATAATGAAAGGAGACTCGTAAACCCCAATCTGTGATCTCCAATTTCTGCATCTTTACTTTTGTATTTTCCGCTTTTAAATGAACCTAGCCTGAGGTAAATTAACCTATGCCCAGCCGTACATTTTTCCTCTCATTGACTGGTGTCCCCAAGGTTTATATTTATCTAATCCGGTGTCCCCTAGGTTTGCCTTTATAGAGTTTTTTGATCTTGCCTCAGTGAACGTGGCCCTACAGTACGACGGAGCCGACTTTTGTAACATGCAGATAAGAGTCATCCACAGTCGACACTGGCTCGGGTAAGTGGCCACCAACTTGGATAAACCTTCTCATTTTTTATCAAACTATCTGATATACCGTCACATTTAAAAAGCTTTATCTTTAATAATCATAAGCATCAGCTTTAGTACACTGTAACTTAAACATGGCGGAGATATTAAGACTTTTGTTAACAGGAAGCCTCCTACAAAGCAAACGGAAGCTGAACGGGAGAAGGACCTGCTGATGAAACGTCTGCTCGATGCCCAGACTCTTATTGCAAACGCTGTTAATGAAGGTTGGTTTAAAACTATTGTCTTCTCCAATGAGTTTGTTCCTCTGATAGTGAACAACTTGGACAGTTAAACCAGTTAAACACGCCCTTATCTAAAACTATTCCCAGAATCTAATCCGACGGTTGCTCCGGCGGAGGCTGAAGGATCTCCAAAACGGAAGCGTTCTCGGTCCGGTAGTAAATCCAAACGGAGAAGACACCGATCTCGTGATAGAAAGAAGTCACGTGATAGATCGAAGTCGAGAAAGAAGAAGTCCATTCGACGATCGAAAGACAGGTACATATTTGTATAGCGCTGTGCACTATACACGTTTCGGTCGTTGGTGTACAACATCGTAATCTATAAATTAATGGACACCGATGATAATATTGGTTTTACTTACAGATCACGATCAAAAGAGAAAAAAGCCAGATCTGGATCCCGCCATCGGCGGTCACGGTCACGAGATCGGAAATCAAAGTCACGGGAACGCACATCGAGGTCACGTGACCGTAAGAGGCGAACTAGAAGCAGATCCAGAGACAAAAGACGCTGAGCAGCACATCACCCTGATCACATTTTATTAAAATAAACTGGTTTAAACGCTTTAAGTTTAATACACGTTTGAATTCTCCCAACACTGTTCATTATTGAAAGTGTGAACTTTAGATATTTGTAAATTGATTAATATAGCCCGGATACCAGATTGTTAGCATTTCTATTTAAGCTTTAGAAATTATAGCATTTTAACGTGACCTTCTTTACACAGTTACATAAGAATTTAGAGTCGTTCAAGTAGAATCAAGATCAGAACGTTGCACTAGCTGTTGTTTAGATTTTATTTCTATCAACAATTAACGGAGACGAGAAGATTTGAAATTTTTAATTACTTTGCAATTTGCGATGCGTGATGTTGTCATTAATCAGTAGGCAGAGGGTTGATGGTTTTTGCTAATATTGACATACTGATGCTATGCATGAAAATGATAATAAAGGAAAAGTAAGTGCTTCTACTATCAAAATCAGTTGTGTTATTTATTTATTTTACTCTTTTCATGACTGGCGATTAAATATTTTACTTTTATTTGATATGAAGATGTTCGATGGTGAAATGCTGAATCTCAAATTATTGACAACAAAAGAGACACAACGTGTGGTCCGTCTATTCATTATGATAATAGATCGACCCAACGCACGTCGTGACGTCGTATCACCTTGCTTGGGCTCTTACTAATTCGCTCGCCCAAAAATTTCACGTGACTTTGGTTTCTATGGTTTTGCAGCCGTACAAAACGGTTTTACATAAACCCTAATCCGCAACCCTAACCATAACCCCGAAGCTATCCATAACCCTTACAACAACCCTAACCCTAACCCGAGCCCTAAACAATCGAATTCATGTTTTACTAGCCTGTCACGTGACCAAAACGGTTTTTTGCCCATAACTCTCCAGGGAAGCATTTTTACCCTACGTCATGGGGGGGGGGGGGGGGGTGATTCGGAATCAGCGTCCAAAAATACACTGTTTAAAATCAATCTCATACCCAGAGGGCCTTTTCACAAGAATTTTCTTAAAATTTGGGCGAGCGATTTAGTAGGAGCGCCTTGCTTGGTGTCATTCAGCAAAGAAGTTCAGACACGAGTATTGAGTAGCGTCCTTACTTGATAGTCTTTGGTCTTGATGGATGATACTCGTTTGAATTTCTCCGAAGTGCACGCGAAAAGGGGTTATGTTACACATGGCAACGTGTCTCAGGTTGTATACTCCAGTAGCAGGCAGGGGTTGAGTGTGCACTTCGCTGCATAGAGTTTTTTGCTACTGAATCGGGTTAAATAGGTCATTGGTAACTCAAATCACCGAGGGGCACATTTTGTATCGCTAGTCCCAGTCCTACAGGGCGAAATTTCTAAATTGCCCTCAGTCGCAAATTTGGGATTTTTGTATCTCGGCTTCTAAAAGACTTAGAGACTCGAATATTGGCTTAAAATAACCGCAATAGCCTTATTTATATACAAGTTATGAAGCAATATAAGGTCTCAAGTGCCTAGTTTTAAAGATATTCACGAAAAACTGTTTTTTTGCTCATTGCAGCCTGAATAACCGGATTATTTTTGTATCTCGAGCTATAAATGTCGTAGAAACTTCTCCGATACTGAAAAATATTCGCAATGAGCACATTTATATAAGACTTATGAATCATTATATGCTCTAAAATGCTTATTTGTAGAGATATTAGCAAAAATCGGTAATTTTGGCTACACCAATACAAATTTGGTAATTCGTTTTGTCTTTTTGTTGCAAATTTTCACGTTACAATTTTCAAGATGCGGTTTGTGGCTATCGATAGGGCTTTATATGCTATTGTATGGTTTTGATACAATCCTTCAGCACCTGACATAGGCAATAGGGGTCACAAACCCTGAAATGTCAGGAACTGGGTGCGGTGGCAGAGATAAATATTTGATAATTACTTGAACTCTTGACTCACATACATCTTTTTAACGGTTAGTTGGACATCTTAAACCAGTATTGAACGTTGAGTAAAACTTCTGATCCATTTGTAGCTCAGGTGATGTGCCCCAGAACCTCACGCCTGAGTGACAGTGGGCCTTATCGATCATAAGCCGCAAATCACAATGACTTTGGGCCTCAGAGACAAGGGCATTCGTACTCTTGGCTTAAATTGGCTCTTCGTTAGTATCATCAATCAGGTTTATAACTTCTATATTATCTGCCTGTCCAGTGTCCACCTGTCTCTTTGAGATTCATTATTACTTCAAGTTCAGTCATTTCGCTTCTGTTCAACTGTACAGGTGTAATGAGGGACTTCAGTCCAGCAATATCTCTAGATTTAGCAATATCTGGTTTCGCTACTTTTAAGGTAAAGGTGTTCAGCAAGCAAGTTTGTTAGTTTTCAGTCCTAATGCCCCAAAATATTGGCCTCCAGAGCACTGGTTATGCTGGAGTACAGAACTGGTAATGCACATGGTAATGCTGATTTTTTGCTTAACATAGCTCTTTTTTAAGTTCCTTTTTCAGCAGTCTTCCCTATCATACTGGCCTTTATCTCTAAATTTAATCTTGAACCTGGGCTCTACAGGTTATCGAATGTCCATCTCAGCATTTACAACTTACATTGAGTCATAAATTAGAATTATGTGGGGCACAGAGTCACTGAGGGACAGGTATCGTTGGGCCCGAAGTTCTGGGACCCAAAGTTGCAGGTGCCAGAGGTCCTGGGGCTGACAATAATTGGGGCACGAGGTTGGTGGACATTCGATAACCTGTAGAGACCAGGTTCAAGATTATATTTAGAGATAAAGGAGGTGAATCTGTTTTTATGCCAGTATGATAGGGAAGACTGCTGAAAAAGGAACTTAAAAAAGAGGCTATGTTAAGCAAAATATCAGCATTACTATGTGCAATGTGCATTACCAGTACTCCAGCATTACCAGTGATCTGGGGGCCAATATTTTGGGACAGTAGGACTGAAACTTACAAACTTGCTTGCTGAACACAATTAGTAGCGAAACCAGATATTGTTAAATCTAGAGATATTGCTGGACTGTAGTCCCTTATTAAGCCTACAGTTAAACAGAAGCGAAATGACTGAACTTGAAGTAATAATGAATCTCAAAGAGACAGGTGGACACTGGACAGGCAGGTGATATCTATATCATCTGATATAGATATAGATATATCTATATCTAACTTCTATAGAAGTTATAAACCTGATTGATGATACTAACGAAGAGCCAATTTAAGCCAAGAGTACGAATGCCCTTGTCTCTGAGGCCCAAAGTCATTGTGATTTGCGGCTCATGATCGATAAGGCCCACTGTCACTCAGGCGTGAGGTTCTGGGGCACATCACCTGAGCTACAAATGGATCAGAAGTTTTACACAATGTTCAATACTGGTTTAAGATGTCTAACTAACCGTTAAAAAGATGTATGTGAGTCAAGAGTTCAAGTAATTATCAAATATTTATTTCGGCCACTGCACCCAGTTCCTGACATTTCAGGGTTTGTGACCCCTATTGCCTATGTCAGGTGCTGAAGGATTGTATCAAAACCATACAATAGCATATAAAGCCCTATCGATAGCCACAAACCGCATCTTGAAAATTGTAACGTGAAAATTTGCAACAAAAAGACAAAACGAATTACCAAATTTGTATTGGTGTAGCCAAAATTACCGATTTTTGCTAATATCTCTACAAATAAGCATTTTAGAGCATATAATTATTCATAAGTCTTATATAAATGTGCTCATTGCGAATATTTTTCAGTATCGGAGAAGTTTCTACGACAGTTATAGCTCGAGATACAAAAATAATCCGGTTATTCAGGCTGCAATGAGCAAAAAAACAGTTTTTCGTGAATATCTTTAAAACTAGGCACTTGAGACCTTATATTGCTTCATAACTTGTATATAAATAAGGCTATTGCGGTTATTTTAAGCCAATATTCGAGTCTCTAAGTCTTTTAGAAGCCGAGATACAAAAATCCCAAATTTGCGACTGAGGGCAATTTAGAAATTTCGCCCTGTAGGACTGGGACTAGCGATACAAAATGTGCCCCTCGGTGATTTGAGTTACCAATGACCTATTTAACCCGATTCAGTAGCAAAAAACTCTATGCAGCGAAGTGCACACTCAACCCCTGCCTGCTACTGGAGTAGTAGCTAGTATAGCGCGATGCATTACTGATTACTGGACAGTGGGCGGCGCATCCAATAATGCTTCTCGCTAGATCGGCGAGATGTACCACTGGGCCTCGCCGAGCTGCGAAGGATTGACATCATCAATTAACGGGTGATACTCGTAAAATATTTGTTCCAAATATTACAGGACCGTCGACGAGTCCAACTCAGCGCGCGTCCTGGTAGGTTATATTTTTATCAAGTTGTGACCCCCTTTATCGTCGTGACCCCCTGTATCGTCGTGACCCCCTTTATCGTCCTGACGATACAGGGGGAGCCGGTACGTGCGCAGCGGGTCATACAACGTATGACAAGGTTATATTATAAACCTACAACATCATCAATTAAGTCTCAAGCGTGAGTGCTATGAATGATGAAGTAGCGCTCGCCTAGTCAGTAGGGCTTTTACTAATTCGCTCGCCCAAAAATTTCACGTGACTTTGGCACATTTGGTAAATCGGCTGTAAATTGCTCCATTATATTGTACTAGAAAACCCGTGGTAACAGGGAAGAACCTAATAGTATTCTTTGGCAGTCAGTTTTAATCGTGTCAAAAAGTATTCATCCCCACCAAAGATACAGCCGATTAAAATGTTGCTCGAACGCGCGAACTAAACATAACGTAATATCAACAAAACCGATAAAAATGCAATTCGCCAATCATTGCACGTGCACGTGCGTGTAAAAATCCTCGTTACCATGGTTATTATGCAACTTCTTATTTTTCATCTAATTTGCACGTGGGCGGTCGTACAGCATACAGAATAAATAATTCTCTGAATTATAGTAGAGATGTAAGCCAAGCTCCTCATGCATACTATAAAAAGGACTGATCATACAAATGCGCGCAAGGTAGGGTATAAGCAATTTAGAATTTTCCATTGTTAATGGACTGTACAGGTACTATTGTCATACGTCGTTGTATGACCCGTAAATTTTGCCGATCTAACGAATGTGGTTGCACGAGAATTGCATTATTGAATGCGCGGCGCGGCGCAGTAATGGATCGCGCTACAAGTTTCAGGATTAGGTTTATGGCTAGGTTTAGGGTTAAGAAATCAATTGACACACGCTGTAACCCCTTTTGAGCGCGCGCGACGGCCGCAAAAGGGCCTCTCTCGCCGGCCGGCCGGCCGGCGTGCACGCTTCGCGTGCACGAGAGGTATACAACGTGTAGCAAGAAATCAATGTACAATGATCAAAGTAATGGCTGTTAATTGAAATGGGATAGATCGACATGGGCTCGCTATAGTTGATAGTTGATAGTGGCTTATATAAGTTCTTTCACGTAAAAAATGCTACTCTCACGTATGCAAATAGCTTACCTGGGGACCTCAGGCTATCATGTTCATAAACGTGTAAAATAGAGATTAGGCGGAATGACAGGCTGAGCGTGGCCCAGTAAGCAAATAGGTTGAAAAAAGTGCTGCCTCTTTAATTTCTCCATGACAAGCACTATACTAGCATGAGTAATGTCACCCCGGCGAAAGCCGCGGGCTTCATATTGCTGCGCGTGTTAAAACAAATTTTCGACATAAATTTGTCAGGAGATCGACTGTAATTCCGTTTACGAACCTTTTAAAGATATTTGACAGTGCCGATTCTATCCCTTAAAGGATTTTCAATAGTGCCGTGGAAAAATAAAACATCAAATTCATTCATCTGAACATTAGTAAAGGTTATAATGATATCAAATCAAGATTTCAAACGCGTACAATCATTAACCCTAATCAAGTATTGTCAACTGTGATTAAAGATCAGAGCAAAGTATGCTATCCTATATGTAAGCTACAATGAGGAAGAAACAGCATTATACAACAGTATTACAATAATAAATATAGGTATAATACCAAAATGTAACTATTACTGCTAATAAATACAGTTTAAAGATAAACTTATCAAATTAAAATTGACACGAAACTAATACGCGGTTTATATTAGAATGCAACACAAACACTAAACACATCAAATAGAAACAAAAAAAGATATCTCGCACTGTCAGTCATTACATATTACAATTATATAAATAACACCGAAGAACTCATATATCAACAGCTCGAGTAGCGCACACTACTAGTACTATTCTCGAGTGTCTGACCGTGGCAGGGGAAGCGTCCAGGGTTCGATGCCGCGACCGTGATCTTTTAAACATTTTGTGAAAGTCGTCTTTGTTTAAGAAGGTCCACTTCCAGTAGCCCATTTTCTCCCCACATAACATTTCTTCATCCTCAGCAAGACCTGTTTTATTTTCCATTACAGTAATTCCATGTTCCAATGAAATCTAACTCTTCAATTTTAATATCAGCGGTCGGATCCTGAAATATGGAAGCGAAACTCAGTAAATTTTTACAGTCAAGTAATACTATAACTTCTATTCGTAAAATTTTACAAGATTTGTTTCCAGTTTCGGACAAATTCACAATATTACTACATAACAACTTAGTAATGTAAGCAGTAAGGGCCCTCTCCTAATTTTAATCTGTAGAAGTGCACGTGCAAATAACGCGCGACTTCAATGCAAAAATACGCGTGTGCTCTCGGCGCGCGCTAAAACTCTGCGCTGAAAATATTGGTTTGGTACCACAACGAGAGTTTTAAAATTCCCGCCAATTCCAAACTCCAGAAAAAGAATCCGAAATTTTGGGACAGCCAAAAACATATTTTGATAAATGCTTTTCGACTTTATTTGTCCGTAAACTGACAACTACAGTAAATCTATTTTCTCTACGAACTGGGCACGAGTAACTTGTTTTAAAATACAGCAAATCTATCTTCTCGGAGTGGGCACGAGTAACTTGTTTTAAAATACAGCAAATCTATATTCTCTGCGAACTGGGCACGAGTAACTTGTTTTAAAATACAGCAAATCTATCTTCTCTGCAAACTGGGCACGAGTCACTTGTTTTAAAATACAGCATATCTATCTTCTCTGCGAACTGGGCACGGGTAACTTGTTTTAAAATACAGCAAATCTATCTTCTCTGCAAACTGGGCACGAGTTACTTGTTTTAAAATACAGCAAATCTATCTTCTCTGCGAACTGGGCACGAGTAACTTGTTTTAAAATACAGCAAATCTATCTTCTCTGCAAACTGGGCACGAGTTACTTGTTTTAAAATACAGCAAATCTATCTTCTCTGCGAACTGGGCACGAGTAACTTGTTTTAAAATACAGCAAATCTATCTTCTCTGCGAACTGGGCCCGAGTTACTTGTTTTGAAATACAGCAAATCTATATTCTCTGCGAACTGGGCACGAGTAACTTGTTTTAAAATACAGCAAATCTATCTTCTCTGCGAACTGGGCACGAGTCACTTGTTTTAAAATACAGCAAAACTATATTCTCTGCGAACTGGGCACGAGTAACTTGTTTTAAAATACAGCAAATCTATCTTCTCTGCGAACTGGGCACGAGTCACTTGTTTTAAAATACAGCAAATCTATCTTCTCTGCGAACTGGGCACGGGTAACTTGTTTTAAAATACAGCAAATCTATCTTCTCTGCGAACTGGGCACGAGTCACTTGTTTTAAAATACAGCAAAACTATATTCTCTGCGAACTGGGCACGAGGTAACTTGTTTTAAAATACAGCAAATCTATCTTCTCTGCAAACTGGGCACGAGTTACTTGTTTTAAAATACAGCAAATCTATCTTCTCTGCGAACTGGGCACGGGTAACTTGTTTTAAAATACAGCAAATCTATCTTCTCAGCGAACTGGGCCCGAGTTACTTGTTTTGAAATACAGCAAATCTATATTCTCTGCGAACTGGGCACGAGTTACTTGTTTTAAAATACAGCAAATCTATCTTCTCTGCGAACTGGGCACGAGTCACTTGTTTTAAAATACAGCATATCTATCTTCTCTGCGAACTGGGCACGGGTAACTTGTTTTAAAATACAGCAAATCTATATTCTCTGCGAACTGGGCACGAGTAACTTGTTTTGAAATACAGCAAATCTATCTTCTCTGCAAACTGTTTACTTGTTTTGAAATACAGCAAAACTATATTCTCTGCGAACTGGGCTTGAGTTACTTGTTTTGAAATACAGCAAATCTATCTTCTCTGCGAACTGGGCACGAGTTACTTGTTTTAAAATACAGCAAATCTATCTTCTCTGCAAACTGGGCACGAGTCACTTGTTTTGAAATACAGCAAATCTATATTCTCTGCGAACTGGGCCCGAGTTACTTGTTTTAAAATACAGCAAATCTATCTTCTCTGCAAACTGGGCACGAGTTACTTGTTTTAAAATACAGCAAATCTATCTTCTCTGCAAACTGGGCACGAGTTACTTGTTTTAAAAGACAGCAAATCTATAATCTCTGCAAACTGGGCACGAGTAACTTGTTTTAAAATACAGCATATCTATCTTCTCTGCGAACTGGGCCCGAGTTACTTGTTTTGAAATACAGCAAAACTATATTCTCTGCGAACTGGGCTTGAGTTACTTGTTTTGAAATACAGCAAATCTATCTTCTCTGCGAACTGGGCACGGGTAACTTGTTTTAAAATACAGCAAATCTATCTTCTCTGCGAACTGGGCACGAGTAACTTGTTTTAAAACACAGCAAATCTATCTTCTCTACGAACGGGGCCCAAGTAACTTGTTTTAAAATACGACAAAGTTAACTGCTGAATGTTCCCGGTCAAAAATTAATTATAGTTTATATTAAAATATTGTCTATGTTTTACTATAATGCTGGGAGCCTTGTTGTAAAAAATAGGGTACATACCATTACTTGAAAGTCGTTATTTCGGAGTGAGCAACCATTTTGTTGACTAGCGAATCTAAATTGAAATAGTCGAATATCACTCAATTTCAGTTGCAGGTCGTCATCCTTAAAATTAGAGAGCAAATAATTTCATTTTGTACTCGACTTAAGTCAATATAAATAGAAATTACAGCAATTTGAAGTAACAGCATATCAAGCTATATCATACATATTACATAATTATGAAAGCCTCGCAAAGATCTCGATTAAATCTGTAAACGTACATTTAACGGTAAGATATGTAGATAGCGCGCAATAGTTGCGCACGCACAAAACCAATATGGCTGCCACACAAAGCAACAAACTGTAACAAAAAATGAAAATTGTGAATTCAACCAGCTTATTCTTTATTATCCAACGCGACATTGGTTTGGGCGCATTATCGACACGTTTTAAATGCGCGGAACATTTTTGTGCGCGGCACTAGCATTTTAAATTTTCAAAATTTAAATCATAGCCAGAGTTATGGTTATTTTTCAAAACAAATTTTGAGGCAAATTTTACGTGTAAATTATCCATTTTTTATTCATGATCACTCATAGTTTGAACAATTTTCCTTGGATTGAATTGAACTCTTCGATATTCGATTATTGAGACAATTATCTAAAGAACAAGATTACTTTAAAACTAAACATACGTAATTTGACTTAACATGAAGCTTGAGGAGATTTTAAAAGTGAAATTCAATCATTTTGTGCGACGTATGAAGCCCGCGGCGTTCGCTGGGGTGAATGTTTGTCAAAATAGTAGCGTAAATTGTCAAAATACCTCGCGCTTGAAAGTTAACAAGTAATATTAGGGAAAACAAAATTTTAGTTTTTGATTACAAATTACGAGGGGCTTTCAATCATTTAAATATTGATTAAGAAGGACACCAATTTACAGTCAATTTTGATGTTGCTTCTTTTTGGACAAACATGTGTTTTCCGCTAATCAATGGATTATAATACACGCATCGATGTATTTGTCCAATTGCCAATGGTTTCATATCTTAATTGTAGTTTACCCTATATACAAATAATATTAAGCTCTGTCTGTTCACAAAACAAGATAGTTTATTGTATTGTTTATTGAATTGTAATGGTAGCCGAGTGGTTAACACTCCCGCTCCCAATTCAAACCCCAGCGCATTTGACATATTGTAAGAAGTGAGCTGAGGATTCTGTGTCAAATCTCCTCGGTAATTGACTCATCAGAATGATCGGGAAACCGAGAATCGTGACTTAGTAGGGTAAAAAAAGGGTAAAATGAGGAGGAGCCTTGCCAAAACGTTTAGGATTTTATAAGGCCAAAGGCACCCTTCAGCACATCTACATGTATTAGTGTACACTGCTTTTATGTCATATATGCCACAACTGACTTTTTCTTGTTTACCCAAAGAAGTTGTCCTATATGCCATAATCAAACTGACTGAAACATCCAAAAAATACTAGGACAAAAATACAACGATCCACCAATTAATTATATTAATTGCTAGAGATAATTGGGTACTGCCAATTTTCATTCATTATCTGGATTTTTCTTGCATCATGTCAAACATTGGTTCCTGGTAAGACAAGTTATTAAACTGGTAGTGAAAGGAGAGTCCTTACCAGATTCGAGGCAGCTGAAACTTGTTGTGTTTGCATGCACGCTCAAACTTTTTTATATACTATTCTAACTAGTAAGCCCCATCCATAGCTAAAAATGGAACTTAACGACAACCACCATCAGAACATTTTGAATTATTTGAAGTTTTCTAAATTTCGCCGAGCTCAGAAACTTAGAGCTGTAGATGGTAATTTCGAGAGTACACTTTCAAGCAGAGTGTCTGCCGAAGAAACCTACACTGGCGACGAGATAATTGAAATACTTGAGGTAGTGTTTTATCATAATTTATATTCTTTGAAAAAGTTTAAGTTTTTAAAACTCATTTGGAGGTTGCATGCAGTGTTTGATCACTTCCTTTTAAAAACTTTCTTCACATTTGATTGAAACATCTCTTTTTAAACCATGACCACCCCTTTTTCAGGAACTAAATCAAGTTGTTAGAGCAGATGTTGAATCAGAATTCCTTGATAGCAATCACACTAATTGTCTTCTTTTGCGGCAACTATTCAAGCAAGCAGAGAAATGGCATTTGAAGTTAAATGTTGATACCTCAGAACTTGAGAACAAGGCTCTGTTGGACGCAGTTGCCAAATTAGAAGACTGTACATCATCTTCATCTCTGAGGAATGAGTCTAAAGGAAAACTTATACCGTTAGAGGAGTCAGGTCAATATATTTATTGATTGATTGTGTATTGAACTGGTGATAAATAATAAAATTGTCTTTTCTCAAAAAATTGTCTTTTCTCATAATTTATTTATATTTTATCTAATTGAGGCTGATCATTTTTTAATCTTCTGAGTGCATTCATTTTTTAATTAGTCACCTTGTCAAGTGTGCTGATATTAAATTTGGCCATACTATCATCTCATTTATGCATAATTTGTTTTTAACACCTTATTACGACTGAATACACATTTCAAACTTTAACCACCACGTCTACAGGTCCAGTGCCCTTGTTAAAATTGGAAATCAGTCGCCTGGAAGAGGAGAATAGCAAGCTTAGAAGCCGGCTTGAGAATGTGGAAATGAACTGCAGTAATACCTTGCAAGAGAAGGGGACGCTGCAGGAACAAGTCAATATGTTGAAAAGTCAAATAACTTCCAGTGGTGCGGCTCCAAGTGTTCAAATCAGTAATCTCAAATCTGAGGTATTTATCATTACGTTGTCTTGGTTAATTTCCATATTATGCTACATGTCATCAGCAATGCTGATTTTGTGGCCACCAATCACACTAAGAACTTATGACAAATATTTTGGTGTTATACTATTTAAGTGGCAGGTAAACATTCCTTTCTAAATCAAATTTGTTAAAATTTCTGCAGAAATATTTTAAATTATTAGGTTATATTTACTTGTCAGATTGAAATATGTTGGCCTCTGTTTATTTGTCAACGTGCTAAATACACAGCATAGCATAACTATCACGCTATAACATGATGCTAACGCTACATTATAAAGCTAAATACCAGTTAATTTTGTCTGTGTTCATGCTCCCGATAATTACAACCTCCACAATCCTCAGGATTTAACCTTTCATCAAACCCCCCAGATTGAGAGACTGGAAGGTGAACTGTCTAGAAGTTCGATTAACAGTTCCTCGACGGGAGGTTCAGTACCAGGAGATTATGTCAGCACTAAACATCAGCTACTTGCAGTTCAGAGCCAACTAGAACAGGTATAATTATTTGCTATGCTCAATTTCTTTGATCTGCTTACCAGCTTATTTAAGTTCAAGCAGAGTTCATAATTATGAAGCTTGATTAATCTGAATTCTTTGATTCGTCTAGATACTAATTCTCCCTTATATGATTGCTGCAGCCCCATGATTAATGATACACTCAAAGCTTTGCTTAGTTACCCCTTAAATTCTTACAACACCCTTGTCTCTACATTGTTTTTTGGGTTTTAGCCACTATACGGCTTTTTTAGTGGCCATATAGTGGCTGTATTGTGGCCGTATTGTGGCCGTATTGTGGCCAAACCTAATCCACCAATTTGCCCTTTAACCTATGCTCTTTGTTTCAGACTCAAGAGGAACTGGACAGGAAATTCAGTGAGACCACTCAGTACAACAACATGAAGAAAATGTTGGGTAAAAAGAATGAACAGCTCAAGGAAATAAGGTCTAAATTAAGAAGATATGAACCTACTGACGATTAAGTTTCATCACATCAGAATGGGACAGTGTGGTTGATATAAACGAAATATTTCAGCTACTCAACGTTCAGAAAGTTATACCGTGTATTTTACAGATTAATATCCAAGGGTTAATTTCAATGTACAGTTCAGTAAATGCTAGTTTTGGGTAAGTAAGATGCGCCTTTTGCCGGAAAGTTCGTCTAATTTGATTCACATTACTACGAAAGCCAAAGTAATGCACCTCTCCTAGGGTAGCGCTAATATAAATCCATTCACCCAAGTATGTAAACTATTTATACGTATTACTCCCTAAGCTAACAACTTTCCAGCTTTGTTCCTCTTTATTTTCTGTCAGCACTTTGAAGTGCTTTCAAGGGCAGTCTTATTCTAGCGGGTCTAGAATTGTTGGGGTTGATTATTAAAGTTATTAAATCAGATGTTAATATATATGCGCCAGAAATTTATTTTTAATTATCATGTTCGATGGAAAATCACAAATCATTATTATATATTATTATGTAACTTATTCAATGTGATCTATGTAAATTTTTACCTGTAAAATATTACATGTATTATAGTATAACATATCGCATCCGTGTTCATTTTTTGTTTAACAATCTAACAATCATGATCTGGAAAAACCGGAAATCCTAGCCGAGCCCAAATAAATACACAACAAAAGCTCCCTAACTCCCAACCTTACACCCCTTGCAGCCGCTCATTAAACCCAGCGCCAAGTTGATAACAACCTTATCAGCGATATTCCGTATTGTCTCTGGTTTCTCCTGACCAGATTGTTCACTACGCAACAATTTAGACACTAATTAATAGGATGAGAGCGGGCGTCTAGTTGCAGGTTTGATCACCCTTTCTTCATTCTCTAGGTTTTCATCGCTTCCCTGCTACTGTGCAACTTGCGCGAGCATTAGTCCTTGCTGTGGTTATTGTAACGCATGTCAGGTGTCGGTTTCCTTTGTCCGCTAGTTGTCATGTGTGCTGGTGTGATACGGTTCACGTTGTCATTTTTTTCTTTCGGCACGTCTCAGCGCACTTATTTGACAAACTTCACTTTTACAAACCATTGTTTCTTCAGAAATTCCCTGCTTTATTTGCTCATTAACTTGATTTACCATCAATTCAATGTTTGCAATGTACTGAATTACTCTAACCAGGTTTTATTGTAGCGTTTGAAGGCAGATGTAAAATGTAGAGTTATGGTGGAAGACAAGGAATCTCCCCCTCCTATTGAAAATGAACCAGAGGTAAAAAAATAGAATGTCGGCATGTCTTTATTATTATAAGTATCACTCTGAGTACTGCCACCAAGTCATTACAGAGTACTATCAAGTGCTGTAAAGATTTGACTTGCATATTATTATAGTGTAATATTTAAATATATATAATATATTCTTGTATTGAATCTAATTTTAACTCTGAACTTATCAGACCAATTGTTGTTCTACTTTACATTTTGATTTAACAAGTACACCCCTTTCTTTGATAATTAATTATTCAATTAACAATTTACAGATAGTTCCCACAAGACAAACCCGCCGGTCCCAGGCAGGTAACCATAGCAACGGCAACTCCAGCAATGGAAACAACCCTGCTACTTCCAGCAACGGTGAGAATAATCTTCTAGAAGCTTTTACTTTTAGAAACGTTATTTGACCAGCGAGAGAGCAGAAACCGTCTCGTCACTGACTGAATACAATGGCATTAATATGTTCTAGAAAATTGTAGTAACTTTTAAAGGTGGTGCTTCCACGCCCTATGGTTTTGAAACTATTCTAGCTCTTCTTAAAGAGCCGCGATAACAACCTACTAGATCACGATACAATGGCTAATGATCTGGAACAAAAGAATTTGTCAATTATCACTTAGTGTCATTAGTATACCACCTGGTAACTAATGACTCTAATGACATTCTGTGATAATTATTTAAATTCTTTTGTGTCTCTTCATCCACTTGGTAGATCTCTGCAGTTCTAATTATTGAAAGTGCTGAGGAATTATGTTATTAACAGCAGTAATCTTTTGGCGACTCCTAAATTTTATTTGATAATTGACTGCGAAGTTTCCCAGTAAATGGTTGTGGTTAAATTTCTCGTATTCCCTGGCCAAATTTGGTGCGTTCTGGACACATATTATAATCATGTCCCGATTAGATTTTAATATTATTACCATAATATGGTCGTTTTTAACAAAACCAAAATGTTTTCACCGAAGATAAAGAGCAAATTAACGTGTCGAGTAATGTAATATACCTGATCAGGTGACTTGGTAGGAAGCTGGGAATGCTCCGTGTGTACTTACAAGAACATAGAGGAAGAGTTCAAGTGCGCAATGTGCGAGACGAGGAAAGGGACCAGCACGCGCAAACCCCGTGCCACATCACAGGTAATACCACCTGCAAGGTGCCACATCACATGTTAAAAAGGACTGGGTGTTGTTAAGTCCTCTTACTCATTTTTTGAAAAAGTTGATTTTGGAAAGTACGCTTTTTATGACTTCTGCGGTCTGTGCTGTCAAATCATAAAAGTTTGAGACAAATAATAATGTGTTAATTGTTAGATCATGTAAAAGAGAAGTTTTAAGTTTTCTCGTTGTCTACATCTGGTAATGTAAGCGAGTTGTCCTGCACTCCCTCCGTTACGTATCATTAACCCCTCCTAACTCACAGACTCAAGTAGTGCAAATACAAGCGCTGGCTGCAGAACTAGTTGCTAAGCAAACCAACGCGTTGCTGCGGAAACAGCGCCGGCGCCACTTGCGCCAACAGAGAAGCGTTATCGGACAAAGTGCAACCAATTTCACAAGACCTGGCCGGTTAAAAAACGTCGACCGTTCAAAGTGAGTTCGGTACAAATTGTTGCGCTTAGATAAACATTGCACAATCTTTAAGACTTTAAAATGCTTTTTCCATGTCGTAACAGCTCAATATAACACGAAAACTCAGCAGCTCTCAACATTTACAGAGTTTTGGAGGGCTGTCAAAGCTTTGCATATTATATTATTATCCGTAATATACGACAGCTCTCTGATAGTTGGCAGCCAGCCAACACCTAACACACCCCTTCTAACTCTAACATTCTCGCAGGGGCACCAAGATAAATGTAACGGTAAACAACGTTACGGTGGTAATCACGGACTTTCCCGAAATCAAATCTCCCAAATCTAGGTGGGTTAAGTTTTAATGAGTTGTAAGACTGGTGTCTCAAGATGGGCGTGGGTACCGACTACAGCCGTGCCTGTATTATATTTATATTCTGAGGAACTACTATAATCAAGATTTCATATACTGTGCTAAACACTACTGAAAAGCGTAAGCGCGGCAAGTTGAATGGGTGATTGTTTAATCTTTTAATGTTCATTAGCCGCGTGAAGTGTATTCTTAAGTTCGATAGCAATTTTTACCTAATTTGAACTGCTACAAGTAAATACTGGGACAAAATGATAGAAATATTGATAATTGACACATATTTTCTCATCACTTGTTCAGCTATAAAAACTGGAAACATCACCGGAATATACCGGGATGTAATTTGAACAGCTGGTAAAATCAATCGATTTTCCAAATTAATTATCTAATTATCTAATTATAATTAACTTCAGATCCTCCCCGTGCGAACCTGACAAGTCCTCTGCCGCCTCTTCCACACCCTCTCCCGCCCCTTCCGCCGGCGACAACGAGTGAAGACACATCACACTATTAATTAACTGATCAATTAATTAATTAATTATATACACGTTATGCGACCGATGATGATGATGATGATGATGAATTCTGTAGATTTCTCCGCTGCATAATATTTTAAAATTTTGAGTATATGATATAATATGCAATTTATACGTATTCCAGACCGTGCATATTATAATATGTTTTGTAACATTTTTATTTCTATGATGTTGTGGGCTATACATGAAGTGATAATATTGTAGGTTTATGTTTGTAACACGGTTTTGAGATTGTGTTGCGCGAGAAAGAGATCTCTTAGGTAGGTTTATCTAAGGTATTTGATCCAGCGGTAATAATACCGTGCAGGTAAATTTGTATACTAACACATTCCAGATTTGAAATCCTATCATGATTTTAGTTAAAAATAATACCCGGTTAGTTATCGTGTAATAACAATTTATTTAGTCAACAGGTTGAAACCTTTTGGTTATTACTCGCCTGCTATATTTAACATTTTCTGTAAAAAAGTGTGAGTACGTATTATAATATTTAGGCTTGAGTAGTAAGTTATTCAGTTAATTCCAGCTTTGCTTTGATTTTAATCGTAAAACTGAAAGATGATCTTCACCTTAAACTCAACAATTGTGTCCATTCTGAAAGAAACTTCTAGTAGTTTTAAGCTAAGTGCTAATTGTGCTAATTAGTACCTACTAATTAAGTGCTAATTGTGATGAACACAGCCTGGCCTGGGTCCGAGTTTATATAATTCTATAAAGTTTGGTCGCTGTGTTATATCAACTAGCAGGAACCCGTATAATATAACCCTAAACGGTGTCAAGACTCAAAATACTAAAATAATTATTACCTATTTAATTGGCGTTTTTGACACCACTTGGGGGTCCAAATTTTCGGTTCTAAAATCATTATTCCTTGGCCAATTTTTTATTTTTTCATGCTGATTTGAAGGCCATTAAAGCATTTGACCCAGCCAAAAAAGTTCCAGTTGTATATCTTTTACGGTTTATGCGGAAAGTCGCGTTAAAGTTGATGCCGTGGTGTCAGTAAAATGGCACAGATATATATATATATATCGTCTCGCTTTATATATAGTAAGATATTACTTTAAATCATTTCTTGAGGGTTTAGTTATTTTCTTTATCTTACGTATCTAAGTTGTTATATCTTGTGAATGATATCATGATAATATGTTGAACTATTATTGTGCCTACGTGAAATTACTGTTCATTTTGAAGTTGATAGTCTTCGTAAAAAGAGATGCGATTGATGCGATGCTTGATATTTAAATCTAAACTATTGGTAAAGTGACAGGTTATTTGACGACATTGCTCTATCTTGAGTCAAATAACTTGATTGCGACGAAAACAGTTTTACACAATTTTTTGAATTAGTGTACGGTTACGTTGATAATTATGCAATTAATTGATTATTTTACGCATTTGTTATAACACTACATCTTAGTTATAATTACGTTAGATCAGCTTGTCAGATTAATATTCAGATCTCTTGCTATTTTTTGCTAACAACTGTTGACGAGCAAAGCTATGATATATTCCAGCTCATTATTTCGTTTCATAGGATCTCCGGACAGAATTCCACGTATTCCACAAGCTAAAAGTTTAAAAAAGTGATAGTGAATATTGCGATGCTTGAACCACTCAGCCCTATTGTAAACCCCAATAAACAGATCTAAGATGGTTCCCGCAGTCGAATTACGAATAATATGATTTAATAATGACCGTACTAAGTAAGACTAGGTTATTGGATCTGGGAGCAGGAATCCAGGGTTCTATCTGGGTAATCACTAATGACTTGATCGAATATGTTTCGAAATCTGAATTGCTTCACCATACGTGAGTAGGCTTTATTTAGGGTATGTCATGATAGCATTATATATTGCATGCCGCAGTAATAGATCACAATATAATGTACATTGTATATTGTCTGTTTCTTTTCATATGGAACATTTTGCAACATTGTTGTGCCATGCATACCTCACATATTATGAAAACTTCCTCTGTTCACGTTTGTAACAAAACATAAATTAACGATATGCCTAAGCACACGCACGATGGACACATAATTTTGGTCATTTGCAATTTGTGCATACTTTGCAATTTGTGCATACTTTTGACTTTCGTTAAATTCCTCCGCGTATTATGTAATTGGATAATTGATAACGTTTTGTGAATTACATGTGTAAACACAGTGCATAAAAACGACTTCCACTGGACAGTGATTAGTTAATCAGTCAATTAGTGAGCAGTGCTGCAGAGCAAAGTATTTTGCTGTAGTCTAATAATCAGTGAGCTTCACTGCATTCCATCACCAAGCAAGATAGACGGTAATTAAATTAGCTCAGCTCTTGTTCAAATCATGTGGGTGGATTATCTGTTTCACTGGCAAATCTAACATTTAACTGCCGTCACTCTAGGTACAGTTCTATATATTTGAATCATATACTTTGTTATAATATACAAAAAATTTTAGTTATTTGACGCAAATTGCTTGTTTTACTGCTTTGTTTTGATCGAAAAATGACGAAATTACAGAAGTATCCTGTTTTAAAGTGCACTAAACTGTGCGACGAACAATTGTCGACTCTAAACCACATAAACGGTACACTTAAAATGACGGGTGTACTTGGTTACGTAGGTAATTATTCAATTACATAACCGGTTATGTAATTATCTCGTTAAGTCGTTAGAGTAAGCGATCTTATACAATGCTTCTCCGACTTCAAGCCTAAAAGTATTTGATACCTCTTGCTTTGGTCGGCTAAATTTAAACATATAGACTCAATCTTTGCTAAATCTGCTTTGTTATTCTCAAACAACAATTGATAGACCTCACACTCGATGCTACTAAACAAAACAAGTCACCTTCCATTTTATGATTATTGTCGAATTCTTACTAAGTGTGGGGAGCCCGGGGATCATCACCATCTATACCAGAAATCCTCGATATTTTGTACCGCATTTATAAAATCCCAGTAGTAGACGGCAAGAATGGGGATGATCTCCACAGCTCCCCTACTAGACCTCTGATTCTTCGTCCTTGTTTCTGACAGCCTGACCCCACAAGATATGACAACCCCACAAGAACGACCTCACAAGACCACTTCAGGACAAGACCACCAGTTCTACAACTCCGCTAACTCCAGTATCCAGGAGAACATCACCACCCTCACCACCCTCCACCCCACTATCCGACAACTTGGTGACCTCCCTTGTGTACTCCACACTTGCCCCGACCCCAGGAATGTTTCCCTAATCTGTGGTGGTGGTAGTGGACATGAACCTGCTCACGGTGGTTATGTGGGAGCTGGTATGTTGACTGGAGCTGTGGCGGGGAATGTCTTCGCTTCTCCTTCGTCCACGCTAGTGTTGGAGCTGATTTTAGAGGTGACGGGAGACGCTGGGTGCCTGGTTATCGTTAAGAATTACACAGGGGATTGTTTGAATTTTGGGATAGCTGTTGAGAAGGCTAAGAAGATGGGGAGGAAGGTTGAGATGGTGATATGTGCTGATGACACCACTCTACTCGACCAAGACACACTGGCTGGACCACGTGGTCTATGCGGAGTGCTCTTCATTCACAAGATAGCAGGCGCATGTGCTGCCCAGGGACACAGTTTAGAAGCGGTATACAGGGTCGCTCAGCTTGTTGCAAAGAATGTGGGCACAGCTGGAGTAGCAGTGTCACCCTGCGTGCCACCTGGCAAAGCACCAAGTTTTACTCTCCCTCCAAGTACTATGGAATTTGGTATTGGGATTCATGGGGAGCCTGGCGCGTTACGTTGTGGCAGTATATGCTGCAAGTCCACCGTCGACAAGCTGTTTGCCTATCTCTCTGATGAGAGAGGGATGGGTCTCAAATCTGGGGAAGATGTGGCAGTTATTGTGAACAACCTTGGCGGTACCTCAGAACTGGAGATGGGCGTGGCATGTCAGGAGGTGGTGAAATGGATGGAGCTGCAGAATATAACGTGTTACCAGCTTTATTGCGGCGTCTACATGACGTCGCTTGGTATGCACGGTATTTCACTGTCAGTTATAAGACTGGATAAGGAAGGTACACTTCTGGAAATGCTGCACTACCCAACTTCTGCACCTGCCTGGAAACCTGGTTGCGATCAAGTCAAACTGCCCCAAGTCCCACATCGCATACCAAAAGCACCCAAAACGTACACCCCCAAAGCAGGAATACTAAACGACAGGATCAACAAAATCCTTTCCACAATCTACACAGACTTACTCTCAAAAGTAAGTGAGCTAGACGAACTAGACAGACAGGTTGGTGACGGTGACTGTGGGTCCACTGTGGCGGGAGTTGTAAAACAGCTCCAAACCAGGACCCCTCATCTGGACTACTCCTCCTTCTCCCTCCTCCTAACCCAGTTGTCTGACATAGTTGAGGAACACATGGGTGGAACCTCTGGTGCACTGTACACTATTGGTCTGACAGCTGCTGCTGGACAAGCTAAACTCTCCGGGGACACGTCCTGTGAGGAAGTTACTGTTAGTGTTTTGGCGTCGTGTTTGGAAAGTGCGCTGAGCGCTGTTGTGCGCTATGGTAAAGCGCAGGAGGGAGATTGCACCATGTTGGATGTGTTGTACCCGGTGCTAAGGGTCATGCAGCTTAACTCCACGGCGCATATGACGACGGTGACGGCGCTGTGTACGCAAGTTGCTGATACAGGGGTGATGAAGACGGCTACGCTGAAGCCGCGCGCGGGTCGCGCATCATATATCAGAACTGAGGACATTGACGCTTGTGCTGATCCTGGTGCTGTGGCTGCTGCAACCTGGGTTAAAGCTGTCTGTAAATGTTTTTACCTTGATGATATTATGATCTAAAAAATAAATATGTGATAGATAAATTTGCAATTTGCATGGTTTTTATTGTTTAATTTTACTTTAATTTCGACATTAAAAAACGCGGGTTCTTTGGGTTTTTACAAAGTTATAGGTTTTATAATAGTTGTTAGATGATGCTCTAATACGTGTTTTAGTGATGTTATTCTAATAGTTATGAATTTTACTAACCTTTCATCACGTCTGTTCCACCTGTTGGGACCTATTAGGCTATTTTCAGAAACAGTTATTTTTATTTTTGCGTGCATAAATTTATAGTGTATTGAAGTATTGAATTCCGATGTATAGTCCAATAATTTTTACATCTTTTTAACAGTTAAGCGCGTCCAATGTTACTTGTTTCTAGTGAGTGCTCAATTGATAGCTACTTGACATTATTGTGCATTTTGCAGGACGAGGAGCTATTAATAGCTACACGTAAGTGCTGGATTGTATCTTTGTACGGATTTGTCTCAGTAGTACAATTAGAAGCGAGCCCTAAATCTCACCCTAACCCCTCCCTCTGTCTGCTAAAATTTTGCAATCAATTATCAAATCACCTTGATAAATTAATTTGTCAATTATTGATAATATTATTAATTTAATACATCAATAGATCTAGCTATGTGATGCCGGCTGCCGGGGGACTCCAAAAGTCCGAGCTCTACATCGAAACCCCAGCAAAGTTAAAACGACCCCCAGTTATCGAAGGAAACCCCCTCGCTCCTATCTTCCGACCCTTCTCTCCCCTAGTCAAAGTAGGCAGCTATGTGGCCCTGTGGGAAAATCCTCAACTGTCTGCGTGAGTCTCATTTGATTAGTAATAGTACTGATAGAATCATGTTGTGCTATTCCTTGGTAGGGTCTACATCTTTCTTCCAGATCGCATAATTTGCTACTGATCTGATGAATTCCTCAGTCTTTTCTTTGAGTTACACTGTTATGCCTATCATCACATTCCCTTGACTCCTCGCTTACTTACTAAAGAATTCAGAAATCTTTAACAATTTCTCATTTTGAAGAGACATCTGCTCTCGGCTGCTCTCGTGCTCATCTCGCACGCACGACACACTCCGCATAACATTTTGTAGTGCTACCAGCTATCATCATCTCACCCTCCAAATCCTTACAACATCCCTTCCAACTTCCTCGCATTACTTTTGACGTGCAATAATATAAGTTTTGTAGATCTAGATGGAAAATATGTCGGCACAAAATACGTAGATACCTCTTAGCTAAGTGCTTCAAAAATGCCTTCTTTTTTTGACGTAGCATGCCAGAAATAACTCCATGATAATATTTTTCTGCGGGTAGGAAAATAGCAGCGAGATTTGCTGCACTAGCCGGTAATAAGTGAGGAGGAGATGTAATCTGATACCGTATTCCCTGTTGTGGGTTAGGCGTATCAGTGCATTAAGTATCATTACGTAATAACTGTAGATATGTAGAGCTAAATGTGCTATTCTTTAGAGATGGTTATTCCCTCAAAGCACTCTTACAATTAACATTTTAAGGAATAAATTATACTTGAGTAAGTTTTATAGTGTGGGCCTGGTTATTCTGTACGGTTACAATGGCGCTAGTAGGCTGTTAACAAGGTGAAGATATTAGAATATGAATAGTTTGAATATTTACGAGGAGTATGATAAGGCGTGAGTAGTATTATCATCTCGTTATTAATGATTCATGGTGCCTCACATTCGCCTTCTGCTTCTTCGTTTACAAAGCAAGCCTATCAAGATGTGTCCAATATCTGCATGCTGCTTAACATTATAAAAGACCTAACAACCATATGTCTGGTGCACCTCACTACTCCTCGTTCTCTCAATTCTGTTACAATACAATAAAATAAAGCTTTGTTAGAAATGAGACGAGGGCCTACGTTTCAGTGATACCTACACTCCCAAACACTTCCAACAAGTCACTACAATGGTCAGGAAACATGTGTAAACTAACAGGCTCCCCACCCTCAGGTACACCTTTATCTGGTGTAACATGTGTAAACTAGCAGGCTCCCCACCCTCAGGTACACCTTTATCTGGTGTAACACGTGTAAACTAACAGGCTCCCCACACTCAGGTACACCTTTATCTGGTGTAACATGTGTAAACTAACAGGCTCCCCACCCTCAGGTACACCTTTATCTGGTGTAACACGTGTAAACTAACAGGCTCCCCACCCTCAGGTACACCTTTATCTGGTGTAACACGTGTAAACTAACAGGCTCCCCACCCTCAGGTACACCTTTATCTGGTGTAACATGTGTAAACTAACAGGCTCCCCACCCTCAGGTACACCTTTATCTGGTGTAACATGTGTAAACTAACAGGCTCCCCACCCTCAGGTACACCTTTATCTGGTGTAACACGTGTAAACTAACAGGCTCCCCACCCTCAGGTACACCTTTATCTGGTGTAACACGTGTAAACTAACAGGCTCCCCACCCTCAGGTACACCTTTATCTGGTGTAACATGTGTAAACTAACAGGCTCCCCACCCTCAGGTACACCTTTATCTGGTGTAACATGTGTAAACTAACAGGCTCCCCACCCTCAGGTACACCTTTATCTGGTGTAACATGTGTAAACTAACAGGCTCCCCACCCTCAGGTACACCTTTATCTGGTGTAACACGTGTAAACTAACAGGCTCCCCACCCTCAGGTACACCTTTATCTGGTGTAACATGTGTGTGCTGCTACACGTGGTATTCGGAGTGACCACTCTTCTCACCACCTCTATCACGCTGCTGTTACTCACCCTAAACCTTATCATGGTGGAACATTCCTTCACTAAAACCAACATCACTGTTATCTGTGCGTATTCTATGATCGGTGTGTCTGATAAGCAGCTTGAGACTCTGCCTGGTTAGTTTTTGTGATTTTTAGTGATTTTGATCTGATTATTTTCAATTTAAGTGTTGTTTAAATAAGATTTTAATTTCGCTGGAATAGGGTTTGGTCGTAGTTAGATGACTGGTATTCAGGTATTTAGTATACCTAAGCTTCGTAAAGTTAGCCTTAGTCATTAAGATGTTATTTGACTGTAAGTTAAATTGAAGTTAAGAAAATTGGTTAGGACCTCGATAGTTTCTAGAGGAGTTGTTGTAATTTCCGGCGAAATAATTGAGCTTGTTAATCTGAAGCTCAGTAAATTTCTCGACCTCAGCTCCTCCTACAAACTATTTTATGTGCAGATTCAACTGGACTGAAAGCGAAAAGCCGCTCAACTTTTTAACATTTTATGAGATATTTGAGTACGTCATTTTACATGGTGACACCAGTGTTTAAGTGTTACCTACAATTTAAACACGTACTTGAAACTTAAACAAAGAATTTGCCGCAAATGCCACACATTTTTAAAACTTCAGTAGACCCGGACCTACGGTACCGCGACAATTGACCCCCCGACAATTGACCCCCCGACAATTGACCCCCCAACAATTGACCCCCCGACAATTGACCCCCTATGTAATTACACTGGGGTCAATTGTCGCGACATCTAGGGTTTAGTACGACAATTGACCCCCCGACAATTGACCCCCCGACAATTAACCCCCCGACAATTGACCCTCTATGTAATTACACTGGGGTCAATTGTCGCGAAATCTAGGGCTTAGTACGACAATTGACCCCCCGACAATTGACCCCCCGACAATTGTAATTAAACTGGGGTAAATTAATCGGGTTAGGGTTAGGGTTAGGGTTAGGGTTAGGGTTAGGGTTGGGGTTAGGGTTGGGGTTAGGGTTAGGGTCAGGGTCAGGGTCAGGGTCAGGGTCAGGGACAGCTGTTCCTGGGTCAGGGTCATGGGTCAGGGTCAGGGTCAGGGTCAGGGTCAGGGTCAGGGTCAGGGTCAGGGTCAGGGTCAGGGACCAGGGTCAGGGTCAGGGTCAGGGTCAGGGTCAGGGTCAGGGTCAGGGTCAGGGTCAGGGTCAGGGTCAGGGTCAGGGTCAGGGTCAGGGTCAGGGTCAGGGTCAGGGTCAGGGTCAGGGTCAGGGTCAGGGTCAGGGTCAGGGTCAGGGTCAGGGTCAGGGTCAGGGTCAGGGTCAGGGTTAATTGTATTAAATTCTATTTTCGGGGGTCAATTGTCGGGGGGTCAATTGTCGGGGGTCAATTGTCGGGGGGTTAATTGTCGGGGGGTTAATTGTCGGGGGGTCAATTGTCGGGGGGTCAATTGTCGGGGGGTCAATTGTCGGGGGGTCAATTGTCGCCCACCCGGACCTACATTCCATTCCATTCAGGGTCAGAAGAATTGTCCCAATTCACGGTGAATAGCTTCAACAGTCTGTGTAACGTGTTCCTCAACATCCGCGACAGTTCCCAGCAAGGATTGGCTCAGTTCTACTTTGCCCTTTGTAAGTTAAGGCCAGAGGGGGGGGTAAGGGGTCAAAAAATTCTACCAAAATATTATTTTCTAAATCGATTTAATTTTTAATGACAAAAACATTGCCGCTATTCACATATTTGTAGCTGATTAACTTTATTTTATAATTGAGGTTAACCGATTTTCACAAAATTGACTATACAACATTGAGGTTAATAAAATTGAGGTTAATATTTTATTACACGCCATAATTTTTTGTTATTTCGGTCAGCAAATGTAAACTCTAAATTTTAGGTTCATAATTGTCAGAAAAAGTAATATCCAAACGTGATTAAATGAGGTTAACCTCGTCTTTTAGATATAGCGAGAATAGATCAAATGATAGAGTTATTATTTTCATCGTAAGTTTACGGTATACACATTTCTAAATAGATGACGTGTTGATTGACTTTCTTTTATCTTGGGAAAATGAAAAAAATGAGGTTAACCAACACATTTTGGTACCGTAGGGAATATACATACGATTCTTATTTATGTAATGTACCACAATATCGAAGTGAGGTATCTATTGGTATCACAATGCCTACAACTATAATCACGTGACAAAGGTGATTCGAACTGACCATATTTTAGTAGAAGATTTTACCCGTAAATGGCTAAAAAATGAGGTTAACCTCTCATTTTTTGAATACCTGACTAATCAATTATATTTTAACCTCAAAAACTTAATCGTTATACTGTGCAAATGTTTTACTACATATATAATAACATATTGATAAACCAATCCCAGTGTTATATGGTCTAAAGCGAGGTTAACAACCAAATTTTAAGTAGTTAGTGTTTACAGGAAGTCTTGGTTAACCTCATTTTTTACAATACAAGGAAATTAACTACTGAAAGTAGCTAAAATCATTTAGGGGACGGCCAGGTCTGATCAAGCAAACGTTATTAAGTTTATAAAAAGTCCTAACTAACGAACTGTGATACATTCCAGTGAATATTCAAAATTTTGAAAACACTAAATTGCATCTATCTCAAAACACATTTTTTGACCTTTCGATTCCTTAGTTGAGAAAACCAGCCACCCCCTGATATTGAGATTTGGTACAGTGGTTCCTTGGACAATTATCCTCATTTATTATGTGACCGATTTTTTTTATTTGACTCGGTTCTCGAATTATGAGGTTAACCAGCTAAATTTTCCGAATTTTTGACATAGTTAACCTCATAATTCAAGAACCGAGTCAAATAACAAAAATCGCTCACATAATAAATGAGGATAATTGTCTAAGGAACCACTGTACCAAACCTCAAGATCAGGGAGTGGCCGGTTTTCTCAACTAAGGAATCGAAAGGTCAAAAAAGTTACAGCCGTTTAAAGATCCAGTTCAACATGTAATTACAGGTAAACCTCAAAATTTAGCGCGCGATATCTCAGGAACGCAAGGTCAGATTTTGATCTGGTTTTTTTCTTCTTGTTTGTCTCCAGCAGCTATTATCAAATATGTGAAAACTAGAAAAGTGCCATTTATCCCCCCCCCCTCTGGCCTTAACTCCTAAATCTCTAATTAGATAATTAGATAATTATACTAATTATCTGATCAGTAAATAATTGGCTAACTGCTAACTGCTAACTGTTACAGTGCTGTAAGAACTAGGCTGTGTTTTAAACACATTTAGTCGCATGCCAAATGCTTGGAGAGTTTTAAAACTAAAGCTGTTATGTAGCGTGCAGCTTATTTCACGTGCGTTAAATATACTCTCATAATTATAATATTTATACGAATTACGAAACAAACAATTTATATGTTATGTAGAATTAAAGGACTGTATTATTGTGAAATTAACAGTGCTAATAAAAATATAATAAAAATGGCTGAAAGTCAAGTAGTGCTGATTTTTGGCGTGATAGCCAGTTTGTGAACCCATATAAATGACGCTAATTCTTCTGGGAGACAATGTAGCCTCTAAGACTACTAGAATTAGTATATCATGTTATCATGTTGATGCTGTCTTAGTGCACTCTAGGGTGTGGGCTGGAAGTTCAGCTTGATTGCGGATGTGTTCAGGGCCAAACTCAAATATTGGCCACAAATCATATTATCAGTGATCAGTAATGTTATCAAGGGCTACTGAAATATGACTCGCCCACCCTCAATAAGTAGGTATTTCTGCATAAAATCCTTTTTTATTACTCTTCAAAAATGGATATAACACACATCATGAGCCAAAAACATTGGTCCCGAACACTAACTGTGAGCTGTAACGATAAGACACAATGAATAAGCGGAACAATAACCGACATGTTAATCAAATGAAACATTAATAAACGGCATGATAATCAATTGCAAATCACACATAATGTGAACCATGATTGAGTTACAATTGAATTTCATGTCCTCTTTTCAGGTACAACAGTAGCGATGTTGACGATAATCCTCACTTATTTGGCTACTACTACCACCCTACTTCTGCTATTTTGGTTCCTCTTCTGTTTCCCAGCTATAAAACATAATCAGCTTCACAAGAAAGTCACTCAGGAGCAGGTAAATACTTTATAAATAACTTATCAAATAAATAACTTTAAATCAAATAACTTGTTATTTACTTTTAAATAACTTTTAAAGTTACTTAAATTACTTGATTAGTCTGGTTACCACTACTCTTACTTTTTTGTTTCCACGCATTAGTGAACACAACTAACTGCACAATGAATTTGCTCCGGGCTTGTTTCCTTTCTTTAATCTCTAGCGTATGAATAATAAATATGATATTACTTACAAAGTTACTTATAAATTATCAAGTTACATACTTAAATAGCTTAATGAATTATGCAGTTAGTAAACCTAACATGCTGTAAATATTTTGTTATTTTAAATAAAGGGGCATCCTTGCGCAGTAAAGTGACAATTTTGAACGCATGAAATTCCAATTCAAACTCATATAAAGGCTAGACAAAAGCAGTCGTAGCTCTCACCAGTGAATCGTAAAATTTTGAATGAAATACTTCTCACGTTCAGCTGCATACCATTAAATATAACATGATATATGTAGATGAAGCGGCAGAAGTTTTAAGTAAAGAATCATGAACATCTCAATGTTGTCTGCAAGGCGGAGGCAGGCGTGTGTAAGTTATAATGCTCTTTGAGCATATATAATACGTAATAAAATGTAAAATATACACGTAAAGCCTCTCAAGAGCGCGCAGTGGAATGTAAGGCTTCTCATCAAGAGCTTCTCGATTCCCTGGCTTTATAGAGCCGAAAAACTGTAGAGCTATAAAAACTTTTGTGCCTCTAGAGCAGGAAATAAAATTCCTTTTACTTGGTCGCTTTAATTTAAATACCAATCATACCATAACAGATACCTTAAATTTGCATATTATACATTAAAGATTTAAGTGAGCCATCTAAATCTTAACGTTAACTTGAAAACTGGACTCTCTATTGCAAGCGTAACATGTAAATTTATTAAAAGCCTCACCTATTTTGTAATATAATTTATTTCACTGTTCGGTGGTTGCTTATAATCACGTAAATCTACTCACAACTGCCACCAGCTGCAGCAATATGATATCCAATTTTCTGGTAATAACCTGGAATTTGTCTGGCAGTTATCTGCCAGTAGAGACTGCTGCTTATTTAGAGTCTGCTGCTTATGTTTATTATAGCCAAACTGACACACAATTAGTGCGCTACAGTTAACAAGCGGGGTATCCTCTTCATGTTTATAATAAATATAGTAGAATAGATTGCTTTTGGACATGAAGGGAAACACTACGTAAGGCTTGAAATCTTCGTAAAACTACATCATTAGAGCCTCAAATATAGCCTCACTTATAGCCTCAAATATAGCCTCACATATAATAAAATGCATACTCACAAGAGTGATATATTATTTGAGGACACGAGAGAATCTAGACAGTTATACACGTCACTATCTTCATTATGTTATCTAACTAAATAGCATAATATGTGTAGTTTATGTAGTTGGTTTGTACATTTAAATATATCGCGAGTTAGTAAATAGAATTGTAAAACCAATAATAGCGGTACTAGACATATAATACGCCACAAATGTATAATAAACACGGGTTTAATATGTACATGTAACTTTTTATATACTTTATCACTTCTTGTATACTTTATCACTGATATTTTGTACAATTTCAGATAGTTGGCGTGTTCAATATGTCAATGTACATGTTGTACAGTGTGTACAGGGCCATCGTTAACGCTATCTCCTCCCCACCCGACACGGAAACTGATGGAGGACCAGGTATGTCAGGAATCCGACCAAGTGAGCACTTTCTAGATTCGGTGGAAATTACGACTGGGCACTTTCTTTATTTAAGTGGAAATTGTAACTGCACTTTCTACATTCAGTGCAAATTACATCTGAGCACTACAGAGAATTATCTGTAATAACATTTAACAGAATAATAAAAGTATTAACAGTAGAATCTCTGCTGGCTGCTGCACAAGTTCTCTAATCCTAATATTAGTTAGATGAATTATTCATTTGAATTAGTCCTCATTGAACAAGCCAAATCAAGTGATTACGTCATGGTCACTATAAATCACGTGATTACGTCACTATAAACGATGAATCGTGTGGCGGCTGGCTGGTTCCCCTGTGATAAGTGATTAGTCGCATTTTCGTAGATAGTATAATAAGTTAGCATTCTGCAATGTCCGTGTCATTTCTGCGATATGTAATGTGATCTTAATTCCGCGAGTGCAAGTTCATTTATAAAAGCGTTGCTCTGAGACAAAGAAGAGGATGTCCTACTCTCGGTCATATTAATGGCTGCAACAGGTGTTGTGGCTGAGTAGCTAGGAGTAGAAATTGCTGATGAAATTCTAACATAGGTGATGACGGCAGCTGTAACACTTTATTGTGTGCACGTTTTTCAATTTTATAGACTTGGAAACTTCTTGATAGTTCCTGTTTCTTTTACTTATTCGAGACTCAAAATTGCAGTCACTAAAGACGTAGCAATTACCTGGCAAGGAAATGGAACTGTTCGAGTCAAGGCCAGGCACATTTTAGAGCTATTAAGAAGTTCAGTTATAAGTCTCAGTAACTTGTCCGAGCAGAACCGAAAGCGAGTTGCTGAACCACATCATAGACTACAGATAGAAGAAATCCAGGACAATCTAATTCCAAATGTTGACGGACCGTTGAATGATGATGTTCCAAATGATCACGTGTCAAGTGAGGCTTTGAAGTGTAACGAGTTGGAGTCAACCCCTCCTGCTTTCCCACCCGGTGACAATAGCATCACCGTGGGTGATAGGTGTGATGGTGACGGGAAGATGCATGGCACCTGTGATGAGCAGGTGACATCAGGTGATGAGATTATTGAAATGAAGCTGGAACAACAGGAGATTGTGAGATTACAGGAGAAAGTTGACGCTGCTACATCAACTTCTAGCCTTGTTCAGATCTCAGCACTGACAAAGACTGGTGGTGACTCGACTGATCACCTAGTTCAGGGTTCAGTACTGATAAAGGCTGATGCTGGGACACAAACTTCAGAGCAGCTGGTGACTGAGGGAGATAAGGTTATTAAATCCGTCGAAGAGGTACCCATCAAGGCAAAGTTATCTGATTTACCTGTGGTAACTTCAAGTCAACCTGAAAAACCGAGGCTTCGTAGATCGTCCAGGATAGCTGCTCAAAAAACTAATAAAGATGAAGAAACTATGCTCCTTAAAAAAGGGAGCGTAAAAAAGGAATCCAAAAAAGTTACCGGAAAACTTCCATCTACAAAATGTAAGGGCTCCCCGAGTCTTTCAAAGTCTTCTAAATTGTTGGGAAAACCCGTTGCCAAAGTCCCTCGGCCTCCTTCCGAGTCTGAAAAACCAGGAATTGATGACCCACCAAAATGCTCCAAAACTGACGATAAAAACCCAGAAAATAGTCCAAAAGTTGCCGCTGAAAACCCAACCAGGGCATGTACCAAACAGATGTGCCTGACCTGTCCCGCTCTTGCGGATGGTTCCTGCTCAACAGAAGGGTTAATATACCTGATAACGTGTTTGGTAGACGGTTGCAACGCTACTTACATCGGAGAAACTCATCGTAAGATCTCTGAGCGCTTCTACGAACACTGGAGAACTTGTGCCAACCCGCACTTCGAGTCATACAAGATGCGTGCTATGGGTATCCACTACGCTACAATTCACCCTGGAGCAAAACCGGAACTGAAGCTAGAGATATTAGAAACAATAAAGAGTCAGAAAAGGAGGAGAGAAAGAGAATCTCAGTTGATTATAGAGAGGAAACCAAGTCTTAACATCAAGATAAATTAGAGAGAGTTACTGTACGGTAAATTGTTACATGTATCCTCTTTCTTCTCTCTAGCTTAAAGTCTAAAATGTCAAATATATGGCTGCCTTTGTAACACATTTACCTGTAATCTCATAATCCTACCTGTCTGGACTCTGGTATTGTTCAGGCCACATGTCTCATATTGCAGCTAATCACAGTATATATTAATAAGTCTGCATTAGTCACAGATCATGCTCTTATTCTATTGTATTGTCTACACATGTTACTACCTTGTTCATATGTTACTACACTCTACATTGTTCACCAGTGTCTACTCATCTACTGTCTACATTGTTCTATGCCGCTGACAGTGACATAATCTTTACCTTTCTATGTGTGCTTGTATGTGTTATATTTCCGTCTTTTTAGGATTTTGTTGAAGGGTTCTTTACAGTAACTATGAACTATGTGACACGAAAAATAGTAAATAAGGCCTGCATTTTGTCAGGGCTTCCGTGTCGATATACTACATATCAATTCGGGTTTACTTATAGGAATACTGTACGAGTTTTCAAAGTTTTCAAGCTCAATAATATTCTAACATGATCACTATTTTCAGAAAACCCAGACATAACTGAGTTTGACGGGACCTTGTCCGAACCAGCAACCCAGCGCTCCACAACCATGTCCTACCTCCGCGGATTACCGTCAGCTATGACACTCCGCTGGGGGGATGGTCTCACTACATGGTTCTCTCGGAAACAGCAGCTCGATAAGGAACACATTCCACTGGCTGCCCCCTCTGCTGCTCAGGCTTCTAATTCTACTGAATCGGACAGTGATTTCGGTATTGATGATATTGATGATGTTGACGATGGAGCAGTGGTACCTGTTAAAAGTAGGACTGGAACAATTGATACTCTCGGTTCTAATGCTGATCTGGAGTTTCCGTCTATTGAGAGAAAGGACACACTGGATACTCTAGAATACGAGGGGACTATGACCCTGGCCGCGGGTTTAGACCCCTCAATGTTGTACGACGAGGACAGGACATTTACACTGGACTCCATGGGAACAGGTACTGAGTTCACGTTGGGTGGGGCGCAGCGCATGCACCTCCTGGACGCGGTTACTGAGTCAGGTGATGAGGAGGACCAGGAGTTGGAGGACGAGGAGGATAGTGACCTGGAGATGGACGGTAGATCACTTCCAGAGTTTAGCGCCGCCATCCACAGCACCATCACATCACGTGATGACACACTCGACGGCAAACAGGTCATGTTCCCAACGCCTCCCATTGAACCGAGAACTAGCTCCGCGTCCCCCCGCAGAGTAAAAGAGCCATCACAACAAAGCGTGAACAGTGTGGCCACCACGGACACTGAGTTTTACGTTATCAGTGATGAGGAGATACGCGCGGCGGAGGGGGAGATGGAGGAGTCAATATCGTCCACTGGGTCGGCTACTTCCTTGAGGGAGCGGCTCACCGGGAAAATCAAAAATTTGTCAGGTGGACAGGCTAATCCTAGAATATGATCAATCTTGGCGGAATGTTATGCTTCTGCTACATTAGCAATCAGTTTTTTTTGGTGGATTTTATCGTTATTCATGTCGGTTATATATAATATAACAGCAAAATGATTTATCACAATATTTTCTAGAGAGATGATTAAGTGAAAGTTGAATATTATTGATCTTTTGTAAGATAATAGTTTTGGTGTCAAAAATGATCTTGCTATTGTCATATTGATAAATTATGTAGTCTATTACACCTGCTCAGTACCCGTTTCCTGTTTTTTATCCCAGATTTAATCAAAATCTAAAAGAATGCTCAGTTATATGATGACATGATACTTTAAAAATCACCCATAAGTTGTGACCTGTAAAAATTCGATTTTAGACAAACCTCAAACCACACTGATCCATGATGATGGTCAGTGGTAAAACCGAGTGGAGTGATTTGTTATGTCCTTGTGGTCCGTCATGGTTTTAAACTTTGATGTATGCCCCCATGGGAATCTAAGCTTCGTTGTATGCCAGTTTAAACTTAGTTGAAGTGTGCCACCGCCCCTCGTATAGTATCGACTATTATTAGAGTTTAAAAAATGTTTTAGCTTCCGATAACAACACGGGCAACACAAAATGTCTGAAATTTACGTGGAATATATAGAAGACAATGCGTTTTTAATTGCTTATGTACTTGCTGTAAATATCTTTAAATGTTAATTCACAAACGTTGTATGTAGTAAGCGCTCATTTATAACATTTATTTGATTTTATAATCAGTAACGGTGTTTATCATTGCTTGACAAAATCTGAAACGTGATGATAAACTGTGCCATATTTCGCTGAGATTTAAATTAGACCGTCATCACTGATTATGGAGCTGTTACCACTCCCGACCTGGCTTCTTGATGAAATTTCTGCAATTATCGCTCCAAGTTAAATAACCAAAACAACACGAATGTTTAACCGGTTTTTTTCAGGTGATAGATGACAGTGAGGCGATGATTACCAGGCGATGATTGTTCGGCGATGTTTGGTGACCCCTCGGCAGATACCCTACTCTTGTCTCTATAACTCCAACACATCCAAACCTAAACTTTACACCAATCACCATGATATAACGTATCAAGAAGGTGCTACAAGCGCTAAAGAAGGTGCTACAAGTGCTAAAGATGGTGCTAAAGGAGCTGAAGAAGCGATAAATCTCAGTCAAATCTTAAGAAAAATTCAGAGAGACGTGAAGGTGAACCCAGAGGACACCAAGAAAAATGCGCTCACCTCAAGTTACTGGTTCGAAAGGAATGTCAAAGCATCAGAGCTACACACCATATATTTACAGTTATCTAAATCAAGACTGACATCATTGGTAGTGATGACCGCTATGGCTGGGTTCGCGTTCAACCCAGTTTCTGGAACTTTAGCCTCATTCGCTGCACTCTCTGCGGGAACATTCCTGTGTTCTGCGGCTGCTAATGCGTGTAATCAGGTGATGGAAGCGCCGTTTGATGCGCAGATGGACCGGTGTAAGCAGAGGGTGATGGTGCGGCACTTGGTGTCCCCGCTGCACTGTCTAACATTTAGCGCTACCAGCGCTGTGTTGGGTACCAGTATGTTGTATTACTGTGTCAACCCACTGACTGCAGCACTTGGTTTAGCTAACATTGTTCTGTATGCTGGTGTGTACACCACTATGAAGAGATACACTATAGCTAATACCTGGGTGGGCTCTATTGTCGGTGCTATACCCCCTGCAATGGGATGGGCAGCTGCAAGTGGGACGCTAGACTCCGGCGCGTTGGCCCTCTGCGCACTAATATACTTCTGGCAGTTTCCTCATTTCAACAGTTTGAGTTTCAACGTCCGTCAAGACTACTGTCGTGCGGGATACAACATGATGAGCGTTACAGACGTAGCGCTGAACGCACGTGTCTCACTGCGCAACACCGCCGCGCTCATCCCTCTCTGTATGGCTATCCCCTTCACCGGCATCTCACACTGCTCCTTCTCATTCTACAGTGTGGTTGTGAACACGTACTTTACGTATCTAGCCTGGAACTTCTACAAGTCTCCCAACAAACAAACTGCAAGGGAACTGTTCAGATTCAGTTTGGTGTATTTACCCATTTTGTTTGGTTTCCTGGCGATTGGGTATGCGTTTAAGGAGAGGACAGCAACATCGGAGGAGAAACATCATAGTGATAAGCATTATATGAAGGATCTGTGCCCCAGTAGTGTTTTACCAGCTTCTGCAGATCAGTTGTGCCCTGTTTCTCATAAAGCTAGCTCTGGTAATGTTAGCAGTGCACCTTCTTGATGGAGTAGAATAGTAGGGCAATTTGGGGATCACGTGACCTACCTATTTCTCCCGTGTCACCTAATTGTGTTTAATTTATTTGCAGTGGGTAGGATCAGGTGTATTATTTTTATAGTTTTTGATACTTAAAGTTATTGTTACTTTCATACACTTTGTATCACTTCTGGCATTAATTTCAAGAGTGGCATGATAATAATAAATGGTGTTTAAAACACTACTGTTAAGTGACATTCCAGGATTGTCGGTATTATATTTGGGGTATGAATTGATGGCTTTGATATTTAAACGTATTCTGAAACATGTATAAAAAATATACAGAAAATGAGCAGTGTGAGTCTCCAAACTTTTGAAATACCCAACAAATTAAACAATTTTTCTTGTACTCCCAGACAATACTCCGATAACTTCCAGCCGAGATATCAGATATGTGCAGGAATGTCGGAATTACACCGATTAAAATACCGTCGGCATTAATCAAGTTACCGTTCAATTCTTAACGCTGGAATCGCATATTACACATTCTTCTCATGAGTTCTTTATGTTTCACGCACAATTAAAAATAAACATGCCCCTACTAATGCGACTACAAGTTTTGCATATTATCTTTGTACACATTCCATACCGCATTCTCAAAATAGTTCGTGTGTTCAGATTTAAGACAAAATGACAGACCCGGCACCCCCTCCTCCTCCTCCTACTAAAGCTCCTACTAAAGGTTTGAGCGAGACTAAAGTTCCGGTGGTTCAAGTCCTGGCGTCCAACATCAAGGAAGTGTGGCCTTCCCTCATACATTCTGTCAAATACGCTTCCTTCATTGCTATCGATCTGGTTGGTTGATAATTGTTAATAATCTCATTATCTGCTCTGTGATTATACTCGATTTTGGGTGATTAGTCTAATGATGGCTTCAAGCCAGACGTATCAATAGACACGTTCTAAAATATTAATTGCCAACAATACTCAGCGTACAATTCAACATGTCTCACATCTAGTGAGATTACGTAATAATGTCCTACGCCCTGTGGCCTATTTAATAGAGTTAAGCTTGGTAATAGATTTAAAGAATCTTGGTGATAGTATCGTATTACGTTGAATACCGTATACTTCCGTAAATAAGTGTTACTTTCACGAGTTATCGCATTCCTTCTATGATAAACTGGTTAACAATACTGAGAATGAGAACTGAAAATCTGTAGAAAGTGTGAGAATATTTCTACAGTTCGGTGATTCCTAACGTTATGTATCCTCAGGAACTAAGCGGGTTGGGCGACAGAAAACTCCTCATGAAAAAGTAAGTAAAAATCTGAGAAATCTAAAAAATGCGTGTAATTTTTCTGGCATGTCCACTTATTGACGAAGGATGTTATTCTAAATACCTACCTCTTGCATTTCATCGCTTCTTCTCTGACATGGTGTCAGAATTCTCTCTAAATAGGGTTTCTTATTTTTAGAGGGTAATTCACGGCTGTGAATTAGACCTGAACATTTATAGAAGGGCGTATACGAGTATGTACCACATTTTCATGAGGAAATATTACTCAATATCAACCAAGCTCGATACTAGCCAATAAGGTGCCCTGAAATTGGTCACATGACCTCTTTTTAATGTTTTAGCACATGTTGTAAATATAAATGTAAGAGATATAATGCAGCATTTTAGCCCGGCTTTTGCCAATTCTGAGAAGCCCGCCCTAAAGTCTCTAGTTTTGTAATATAATATGGGAGATTTAGACTTCAGAGTGGTATAAGGCATGGAGTAAGGGAAGGTGTTACAGTAAATATTAGATTGATTAGACTTTGATTATAACGAGATACTCGGTAAATTGAGATTCTATTAAGATTGATACGCTAATTTACTTTACGTGAAATCGCCCATATAGTAAGTTATTTCATGCCTTTGGCACGTACGTCTCACATCCCTTGATACGAGAACCCCCTTTAGCAAGAGCTCCCGTTCCTTATGTGATATACGAGTCGAGCAGTCAGATCATGTTTACTTCTTAATGTACAGCTATGATTTACAGAATTGACATGTGAACTCTACCCTATATCTAGCTCATTTCTGGGTCAATTAAATTCTACTGATGGATCACGTCACTAATTATACGTCACATCACTAATTATCCGTCATATGATCTGACCCCTAATAATCGGGGGCCCTCCTTTGTCGGCCTCCCCACAAAACTGTTACTCAGAGGATATGGTAAATATGGGTGTGGCTTTACGAAAGTATAATATACATATTATACGAAAGTATAATATATTATATACATAATATTACAGAAAGACATTTCATATCATGTATGTAAATAATAAGAGTAGAGATAAAAGGGCATAAAATGATAGTGTAATTATATTTTCAGACACTACACCAGTACTAGTGCCCAGAGGAATTTTCAAAGGTTAGGCAGCTAATTTTACACTTAACAGTTCATTATATTATATACCCTCAAAGTGGACATGCTAGATTTCATTTTGCATGTCTTGTATAAATTCATTTGAAATTTTACATGAATTATTCATAATTACGGGAACCAATTGCTGCATTTACCATCTCAAATGTTCAGATCAGTGGATGATCGGTATACGGCAATAGTTGAAGCAGCAAAGACTCGCTCTGTTCTAGCACTGGGCGTGTCATGTTGGCGTGTAACGCGTGACGAACCAGAACCTGAATACTACGTTCAGACTTATAATATATTGCTACTCAGCAGGGACAATTACACTGTCGAACCAGGTTAGAAGTGAGCTTTTTGTTTCGCCTACATCAAAACTTTACCTATACCTAAATACCTTCATTGTGATTTTTTTTCCATCGTTTTAACTTAAATAGTTACTCTTAAAATAGACTACTTAACAGTAATCGTCCGATACATTTACCGAAACCCGTCAATAAATCGTCTGCTTATTTGTGAAGCATTGAAACAGTCAACACAATCTTATGGTATTATGATAAGCATCTAGTTGATCCTGCAACAAGTACATATTATCTCTGCATGTTATCACACAATCACATCTTATGACTCGCATATAGAATATAACATATGGCCACATAATTAATCGAATTATCGTTCAAGATAATGCAGTTAAGTCTAAAATCGAAAGTTAATACTGTAAATCGTAATATGTGTCCAATAATTATAATTATATTTCAGACGCCCTACAGTTTTTAGTGGAACACGGATTTGATTTCAACAAGCAGTACAAAGAAGGAGTATCTTACACGCCCTCTACAGAAGATATGATCGTTTTCAAAGGTAAACACACTTTCTCGATTCAATAGCATTTCATTAGGTCCAAATTGCTTTATTTGTAATATCACGGCTGATGCAGATCGCAAAGCGTAAATGTACATATTGCACGCAGTATAGTTTGGAAACCATACATATATGTTGCATATACATGCATACTATCATATGTTTTTAGTGCTGCTTCACAAACAGTCCTATGTAAAGAAGTCTATACGCTTCATCGGTTCATTGCTTATACACAACATAATATCTAGACTACTTTTTCTTTCGCATCAAATTGAAGGTTTAAATTACAATGTCAGGAATATCAAAACACCTTTAATATTCCTCAGAAAAGAAATCACCAGAGCCGATACGGGATCTGTTTGCTGCAATACTGCAAGCGAAGTGCCCTGTTGTAACCCACAATGGCTTAATCGACCTGGCTTTTATGTATCAGGTTAGTGTCATTGTTATACTTAGTGGCACTTACCATAATATGACCTATCACTGTTATATCATTGTTATCTTGACCGTATTGCGTCTCCATTGAGGGCGAACTTTTGATATTATGGGCGGGTTCACTCACTGAAACGTCAGAAACTATTTTGAGTATATATCATGTCATGATTTCACGAATAAAATTCATTTCTTGGTTTTAAAACAGTTACATTTCAGTCATTCTATGCCCCTCTGCCGCCTACCATGAGTATATTTGTTGCTGATCTGCAGGACATGTTCAAGTCAGGGATCCTCGATACGAAATGTGTGGCTGAGTTTCTGATCAGGGAAACTGCTACATATCTCGAATATTTATTCAGAAAAAGGTGGGTGAAATTCTGCGATTGTGGGACATTTCTACAAGATCTTCTTGCGACTAGCAAAATTCATGTTAGAAAGTTATTAAAGTACGTTTTGTAATTTATCTGTAGTGTGTTTTGGCGCGCGCTACGCGCGCAGTCACACGACCTAAATTAAATCCTCATAATATGTACCTGGCCGTGAACTTGCACGTTGAAGTAATTTTAAATTTAGACCAGCTATCTGAATCCGTTATATGTAATACTACAATTAGAAATTATATCGCACCTTATATAAGGGGGGGACATCTCGATCGTATCGTTATTAAACTAACTTGAAAACCATAAATAACTGTCAAAAATTCTGGGGACTTATGGGGACAAATGGTGAATTACGTCAACGAGTTGACCTCTAGTCCCCATGATTTTTAGTCCCCATTAGTCCCCAAAAGTCTCCATTAGTCCCCATTTAGATGATTTTTAGTCCCCATTAGTCCCCAAAAGTCTCCATTAGTCCCCATTTAGATTTATCCTACTCTTATCTTGGACAAAACATCTCGATCGTATCGTTATTAAACTAACTTGAAAACCATAAATAACTGTCAAAAATTCTGGGGACTTATGGGGACAAATGGTGAATTACGTCAACGAGTTGACCTCTAGTCCCCATGATTTTTAGTCCCCATTAGTCCCCAAAAGTCTCCATTGGTAGTCATTGGCCCCCCCCCCCCCACCTTCCCCTATAAATTGATCTTACTTTACCACCACGTATGGTCGTATGAGCTCTCTGGCTCGCGTGTTAAGTTATTAAATTAAAACTAGTTCTTTAATCACTCAAAACATCCTCATTACTTACTCTATGGAACCACCTCACTCTCAGGATTCTTCTTAAGCAGTACTGATGGAAAGACTCCAATCTTCTTGTCTGCACTTGAGTCGTGTTCCATATCTTACATCCATAGGTCAGAATGGTAAGAACAGCTGCGATGTAGATTCGCACTTTGTTGTTAATGCTTATGTTCTTATTCTTCCAAATGTTGTTGAGTTGGTTAAAAGCTCAAGTTGCTTTTCCAATCCTGACACTTATTTCTTTATCAATCTTGCCATCTGATGTAATTTTGGCACCCAGATAAGTGAATTGAGTGACCTGCTTTGCAGACTGCAGAGTTTCCATCGACAGTTATATCTATGGTCCTATTCTCTGGGAGTGGGTGCTGCGATGTATCTTTCCCAATGACCATGATCTCTGTTTTCTTTGCGTTCATCTTTAAACCCCCGAGCCCACAGTATTTCGCAATATTGTCCGTAGTTTCTTGCAGTCCTTCAACAGTGTTATCCATTCCTGCGATGTCATCAGCATAGTCCAGATCAATGACACATTTTTCCGGTTGTCTGGAACTTTGTCTGTACTGAAGAGTAAAACCACGGGATATATTTTTAAACTTCTCTGCAAGTTCTAATCCCCAGTTAAGTACAAGATTAAAAATGGGGGGCCCTTGCACATCACCTTGTCCAGTTCCCGAATCGACATAAAACCATCTTGTCAATTCTCCATTGACACGAACTGCACTTTCAGTTGCTCTAAAGAACGCTTTGAAAACATTGATATATTTTGTCGGAAGACCATAATGTTCAAAAGCTTTCCAAATAAAGTCACGATTGATTGAATCAAAAGCAGCTTTAAAATCAATAAAGTTTATGTACAAAGGGACGTTGAATTCTATACAATTGTGTATTATACAATGAAGTGAGTACAGCTGATCTATACAAGAACGGTTTCTCCTGAAACCACACTGATTCTCTCTGAGTAATTGTTCAAGCCCATTACTCAGTCTTTTTAACAACACAATTTGGAATAACTTTGATACAGTTGAGCGTAACGTTATACCTCTGTTATTGTTGCAATATGTGAGGTCCCCTTTCTTTGGGATGATGGTGATTATTCCTTTTCTCCAATCATTAGGAATGTCCTCACTTTTCCACACAGTTTCAAAAAGATCCTTTAACCAAGGCAGAAGTCCAGAAGAACCGTACTTTAACTGCTCATTTGAAATTTCATCAATTCCAGCACTCTTGTAGTTCTTCAACTTCTTGATAGCTTCCTCAATTTCAAACAAGGACGGTGGTTCATCATCATTACTAAGGTATTCAAAAGAAAGTAACTTTTCATCCTGATCCAATATAGTGAAATCCACCGCATTTGCTGCTGGCGTCAAGAGTTCTTCAAAATATTCGGCCCAGCGATGTGACTGAGCTTCGGGATCTGATATAAGTGTCCCATTCTTATCCCGCACTGCCGCAGATCTGTTTACTCTCTTGTTTGTTAAGGATTTTATTTTCTGCCAAACATCTCTTTGTTGACCCTGCTTGGCAGCATCTTCTAATTCCTCAGCTACTCTAACAGCCCAAGCATTATCATCTCTTTTACAGTTCTGCCTAACAAGGCCGTTAATCCGCGAGTACTTAGCACGGTTCTCAGCAGTACTGGGTTTCTTTTTAATCTCCCCTCGTTCTTTTAGGAGATTTTTAGTATCCCTTGAGAGATGCTCTGTTCTCTTTTTCCGGCCCCTTTCACCCAGCACTTCAAATGAAACATCAGTTATTATATCTCTCAATTTCTTCCACTGTTCTTCTAAAGGAGAGTTTCCATGCTCCTGATCGTTGTTATAGTACTCTTCAGCTATTCTGTTACTATATTCCTGGCTCTTAGATCTATCACGCAGGTGCTCTAAAGCAGGCTGTCTTACACGCTTCTTTCTTTTCTGAGGACACTTAAGTTTAATAGATACATATCCTCTTACCAGATAGTGAGTAGTATTTATATCTGCTCCTCTCATGCTCCTGACATCAAGCAAAGAATGGCTCCATCTCGTTGAAATACACATATGGTCAATTTGAGTGACGGTGTTACCATTTGGGGATCTCCATGTTGTCTTGTGGATATCTTTGTGTTCAAAGAGTGTGCCTCCGATCGTCAGCTGGTGCATAGTACAGAAATCTAGCATCCGTTTTCCGTTATCATTTGATTCTATGTGATATGAGTGTTTTCCTATAACACCAGGGTGAGCATCAGTATCCCTTCCAACACGAGCATTAAAATCTCCTAAAACTATCTTTATATCATGTGCAGGTAGTCCCGATTGAACATCATTCAATTCCTTGTAGAATGAGTCTTTTAAACTGATCTCTGCATCCTCAGTTGGAGCATACACAACTGTAACACTAATGTTGATGTGTTTGCTATGTAAACGGGCAGTCATAACCCGTCCTGATACAGGGGTGTATGATATGAGAGTATTCTTCATCTTTTTGGAAAGAACAACACCAACTCCTTCTCTCCGTACTCCATCGCTCCTGCCAGAATAAACCAAAACAGCCCCATTGTCCAAAGTCTGAGTTCCTGATCCAGCCATATGTGTTTCAGTTACCCCAAGGAGCTCTAGTCCATAATCATCAAAACCTTTTCCTAATTGATACATCTTACTGGAATTACTGACAAGAGAAGTAACATTCCATGTACTGATACAGAGAGGATTCTTTACAATATTTACAGGATTAGACATACTTGACTGTCTGTTTACAAATGACAAATCTGATGAAGGAATTCTGTATTTACAGTGTTTACGTCGGCTCTTACGGGAGTTGCAAACAGACATCAAGCTACTAGGGTCCTTTCGGCTTTGCCTAGTCGCCGTCATCACTCCACCTGCGCCTCCACGTATAATACTATTGAATGACACTGTAGACGTTTCTGTAGCGGTTTGATTTAAGGTGGATGGTTTGCCGGACCTTCGCACCCGATCCAGAAGCAGCACCGACATCAAGAAGTAAGCGCTCTGTCCAGACACCAGCAAGCTGGTGGTTAGGTTCGATACGTAAAGTTAAAGCATGCAGAGCTTCTGAAGCCCATAGGGAATCAAAATTAAACCGTAAGTGATCATGTCAGAGACAAGATCACCAAGCAAATGCTCGATTACACAGGGCAACCAAGACTTGGACAAAATGGTGAACCGTGAGTGACACACAGATGACCCTGCCACAAGACAGCATCACCGAGCACCACCCAGCAATCGCATCCTCTCGCCGCCACAGCAACCGACCCCCCAGTGATATAGCACTGACAGGCAATTAACGGTTTTGTGGTGTTACCACTCCCAGGTGATCTGTGCTAACAGACTCGGACCAGATGCAATGGGGAGCAATTTAGTATCTGCCAATTTAGTATCTGCCGAGCATAGAGGCAGAGCACAGTGGAGTTTGTACGTTCAACTAGCAGCAAACACCATAATATCTTAATATGGCTTAAAATACTGTCCTTAAATAATAGGGGTTTAGAAAACGAAGCTGGTTGGCCAGGTGATCTCATTTGAAGAGTCCATCTGGTAACTCCACGACATCAAGGTATTTAAAAAGTCAATGAACTTCATTGATTTTTTCAATCACCGGGCAAACCAGCTTCGTTTTCTAGACCCCTATTATTTATGGACAGTATTGTAAGCCATATGGCGTTTGCTGCAAGTTGAACGTACAAACTCCACTGTGCTCTGCCTCTATGCTCGGCAGATACTAAATTGTGGCAATATTGTCTTAAATTTTGTTATTTTGACAGCACTCGTCAATTTCGTTTAGTCTATGTTAGTCGAACTCTTGCTCAGTATTGTCATCAATGCTTGAATTATGAATGATACTTATATTTTAAACTGTAAACTGCCGTTTTAGTTAATCAAATTGTTATTCAGAGTGATGGTCGAAGCCTGCTGCCGTTGTAAAAATACGCTATTCCAGCTTATGAATATGATAATAAATTTCACTTAATTTTTATTATTTTCAATACGAGCCTGCTGTATTTATACAGCAGGCTAAGGCCTGCTGTAAGGCTAAGGCCTGCTGTATTTTATACAGCAGGCTAAGGAACCATTAAATCTTTCCTTTAATCTGAATTGAACTCAGAAACCTTAGTTGACTGTTGCAGTGGGCACTGGGCAGTGGGCATCACAATAAAGAGACCGGTATCACCTGGTAAATTG